CTAAAACGTTTTCTTGTTTGACTTTATTTGAATCTATTGAGATAAATAAATAGACCTCGAAATGTAAAGACCAGATTCCTAACAAGTGCCGATAGAAACTCAATTTTGATCCATTACATACAGAATTCCTATGTCCTACAAGAACTTGTGCCCTCATTTTATTGTATGGATAGCCTTCAACGTCTCCTAATAGGTGTTTAAATTTGACTGTAGACCATATATTTTCTGAAATTTCTTTCGAAACTGTTTTACAAGCCTTAAAGGCATTCAGTGTGTATTTATGGTTTTATAAAAATATCAATTGTAATAAAATGATTTTCGTTTCCAGAATCTCGTTTTTTTTATTTTAACTGTAATATTCTGTGTGTTTACTGTTGTGTCGTGCCAGTAAATAGCTTTGATACCCTCGTAGTGGTTCGGTCATCGCGAGTGAGAAATTACCATCATGCTAGTATTGTATGGTACTACTGTCGGGTAAGGTAGCTGCCATCGAGATAGTAATTTTATTTACTATTTTAAGGTAAAAAATATTACTACTAGTGGGTAGGTTTACTGCCGTCAAAAAAGTAGTATTTTTTACAGTTTTATAGTAATTTTTGCTACCATCAATCTCTGTAAATTTACTGAAAATACTGTTCATAATACTACTGATAGGGCCTGTAAATTTTTTTACATGGGCCAGTACTTTTGCTGCCATTTTTTTTTAGTAAATTTGGAAAAAAAATTTAACAGTGTATCTTTACAAGTAACATTCGCCAGCATTTTCAATATTCAGCTAAAACAGCGAGGGACTACGCATTCAACAATGATTTAAACTTGTTTAGCACGCTAGCACATGAACTTCATGAAAATTTTCGCTTGTGCTGAAAATAAATATATTTGAAATAATACACCCATACATTAGATCAACATGCACGTTGTTATTACTTATTTTTATTAAAATTAAGAAAACAAAATTCGGCAGTGCTTGAACTATGTCCAAACGAGGCAAATGTATCTTGTAAAACTGAATTCTTTTCGTCGTCATCAAAATACTCCGATATTGGAGTCAAGATACACTTGCCACCATATAAACATGAATACATCGTAAAAAATGAAGTTTGTAAATTAGTATTATATGCGCTTAATGCACTCTCAATCTGTAATATTTCTTCGTCATCTGCAGAGGGAACAATAAAAAAATTTCAGTTACTTTTTACACTTGTCGTAAACTAAGAACACATCTTGCCTTTCAGAAGATTTATGATATTTCATCTATGTAAAATGAAATTCAAATAGTCATTTAAATCTAAACACAAAGTCGCTCTTTTTAGTCAAAAAACTATATTTATCTGCGGTAATCAAATTGACGCCTTCCAACACTACCAGGGTTGTTGTCCCGTCATCAAATGGTGCTATAGCGAGGTTAACTTTGTCGTCATATCCTGACAAAAATTTTAGTCGATAAATAAAATATTTCACGTTTTAAATATTGAGAACATCATAAAAAAGTTTGAGAATTGCATTCGTAAATAAATAAAATATGACAATAATAAAAATTATACGCCCCGGATCCACCAACTCGTCTATGCACATGGTGCAAGATATGAGGTTTCTATTTTTTCTCAGATCCCTACTAATTACCACATATCGGAGAAATATCAAGTGTCAACAACCTGATTGGGTGAAGTCCAGTATTTCCTTTCCAATTTTTGTTATACCCATTCCAAGACATGTCACAAACGAAGAGAAACCTACTGCAAGCAAAAGTAGGTATCTGAAGGCCCCCGTGTTCTGTAAATGTGAAGTACTATTCAAACTTTGATGATTGACGAAATCGTCATTTCTTGCACGCATTTCCAATCCGCTTGTTGAGGACTGACTTAAATGTGCTTTATCGAAATGTTTTTTATTTTAATAACTTTTGTATTTGGTAAAATTGCATTTCAGAAATAGTATATATATGTTTTAAAAAGGGGCAATATGGAATTTAACGCATTGTCAAATCAATGACAAATAGATTTTATATTTTTTACAACATTCCTTCGCTTTAACAGTTCTCATAAATGCAAGCATGGTTTTTGATACTTTGTTTAAGCAAATTCATCTTTTTATCATGCCACATATTTGAGTAATACGATAAATGAAATACAAAAAACAGATCCCAGTTATTTTGAACATATTAGAATTTTGGGGTACAATAACACACAGACATAAGTATTAAATAAAATTTCTTCATTTTCGTGGAAATAATTTGGAAATTCATGAATTTTGTTTTTCACCCACCATGTATATCTATCTCTTCTTCCTAGAGTGAGTAGGCCAAATTGACACTCATAGTAACGTTGAAGAATATTAAACTACTGGCCATAACGAGAATTATTTAATGACAAGAGAGCAATGCTCAAATATATGGACACGTAGAACAATTCCCCAAAAATCATATGCGGTGACCAACGACTAACATACCGGCGGTGACTTACCAGTACCTGTATCGGGGTACCGTGACGGTACAGGGACTGTCATAGATATTTTAGGTCCTGTGACAATTGAAACATCAGTTGAAATATCTCGTGATATGAGTCAATTATGTACCGTATTATCGGATCAGGTACCGAACCACAGTCGAACATTTCACATAAAAACGTTACTAAATAACATGCGTCAACTTAACACCAGCCGAATCGGGGTACAATTTTTGGTACAGTGACTGTCATAGCCGTTTAGGGCTGATGGACAATTCGACTACACGGACAACTCACCAGGCCTAGGGTGGTGTAGCCAGTCTGCGGACAATTTCATTCAAACCGCTATAAAACAAAAACCAATACATCTAACCCGTATTAACTTTCTACGACAGAGGGTTAAAGCTATACAAATCCCCAAAGTACGGCACTCGAAAGACGTATTTGCGACCGAACGACCAGTGTGCGACCGCGGATTTCAAGCCTTGATCATCGTTTCTGCTGCGTCGAGACTATCGCATACGCAGCCATACAGCAATCAAACAGACAAAACACGGTGGTCGCAAATTGGTTGACAATTGTTGGTCTTGTGACAGCGTGAAAACATTGGGCTTCTAATTGCATTTCTGACCGTCATATATTTCAAGAACACGGTTATTTCGAACAAAACTCGTTAAATTATAAACAAAGCACCACATCACAGCAATCAAACAGACGAAAACACGGTGGCCGCAAATTGGTTGACAAAGATATTATCGACGTATCGGAAATGCACACCCCCTATTCCCCCTCCTTCAAATGTAGAAACGCGAAACTTTCAAATATGGTTAAAAGAAACACAACTCTACCCACCTGCCAAGTTTCATCTTTTCATTTCTCATATTTGTATGGATTTTCAAGCTTTTGACAGCTACGAGTTAGTTCAGTGTCACCGCGCTGTGTTACGGTACCAGAACTTCTCTATCTTTAGAAGGTTCTGTCTTGTGACAGCGTGAATTGAAATTGCAAGATGGTCCGTTGGACACAAAATGGCGTCCGATGTCCGCAGAACGTTTAGTGACGTCATAGCAAACAAAAACAAATCTTACAGAGCTAACAGAAATATTTGAAATAAATAAAAGTAATAGCCTTCTGGAGAAAAATTTCATCTTCAACCACTGAAAATTTCAAAGCAATTAGTCCAGTAATCAAAGAGAAAAGCGACTTTTTAAAAACGTGTCAAAGAACAAGAACAAGAACAACAACAACAACATAATATTGAAACGATCGTTATGTCCACTACGTGTCCAATAATGATAAATAGTTTTTGGTACAGGAGATCAACTGTGTGCATGTATTGTTCTGTTGTTATTTCTTTTCGTTCTTTCTATGCGTTGCAACTGAAGTATCAATTTCAATCGTAAAATTAAGTTCTTACAAATTGTGAATATTGGTATAATATATACAATGCACAGGGTAATGTTAAGGTTTCAGAGATCTCACCTGGAAGTGTTCGTTCCTTGGGAATCTGTGTTTATTGGAAAATAATTGTTTGCAGTCGGGTCTCGATGAGTGTCATTATGTTGTGTTGTCTACGATATCACCTCAAAGGATATAAATATCTTACTTATCTAGGCGATCGTATTAATGAACTTATCCTTCGTAAAAACCTAAATCATTCTTTGTGGTTCTTCGGTTCTCCACTCACGGGCGTCACTGCTGGTGTTGGGGAGACAAGATAGACTCGACTAAAGGTCACCCTTTGCCAAACCCATGGAATCATTCCAGTCATCCGAATAGAACGGCTGATATTTGTGCTGGGCACTTCAAAAATATTAGTGTTTCGAAATCGAAACGAATCACGAAGTTCCCACAAGTGTGTCAGAAACAATATATTATGGCATCATTATTACACTGCAGCAGACGTTTTCGAGGACTTAATCCACAAAAATGAAAGTTGAAGATAATTCGAGAACATGAAATGATAATAAATGATAAGACTGAGCACCAGAACAATTAAAAAACAGATATTGCACGTAATTTTCCGTGTAAGGATTTTTACTCATACTCAACAACATATTTGTTGCTTTTCTGCCTCTGAGACAAATTTTGCGTTGGTTGGTAGTACCGAACATTCTAAAAATTGCTTTGGGTAATAATTCTAGGGTAATCAACGCCGACTCGACAGGGGTTGAGTCAGTCCGTTTGCCGCGCGTGTGTGGTCAGATTGCCCAGAAGCTACGTTTGTGTTTTGTTCACATGGCGATTCCAGGACAGTCGTATACATGTAATTCAATATAACATATTATTCAATATAATCAAAAGTTATGGAGGGAGCACCGTTTTCAAAGTGAATATTGCCTCTACGACAAAGCCTTCATAGCTGGGTTTTAAGAAAACGCGTTATTTATCTAACAATGTAGGTGAGAATCCCATTTTTTCTACTTCTAGAGTTTTCTACTTCTTATTTGGGGGGAAAGATTATGATCCCGCACCCGTTTAAATCTTGCATCTTGTGGTGTTTATCTTATGTTTCAATTGTTCAAGTGCGATAATTATCAACTCATTTTATTGTTTCAGTTTAATATACGATATAGTATATATATACATTTCATTGTTGCATACTCGTCGATATTTGAAGAGGTTGACAATCTGAAAGATAATGCATTTGTCTTGTTCGCATTGGTCAAAGAACTTTCAGGTAAGTACTTTATATTGTCCATGGGTTTATTTTATGTTATACTACGGCATGCACATCGTGCTACGCGTTAGGAATACAAGCCAGATCACCACTACTCTGCCTGAACTCGAAAGGTGGAATTCCGCAGGTGCTAGTTGCTCTTTCCTGTAGTTTTGCTGATAATGTTCGTATAAGGTAGTTAGGTGGATGTAGGTCGGAGATAGCTTCACATCAAGTCCATGTACTTTAAAATCTCCATTCTCAATTTTATCCCACGTTCGAATCCGAAATAAGTTCAATTCGGCATCTGCACCATAAGCAAAGTAGTTTTTCATGAATAACTGTTATGAAGAAATTCTTAAATGTTTACCAGAAACCGACAAAGATTCAATTTGGCGCGGCGGGTGTGAGAACTGAATTTCAACTTCGCTCATGCAAGCTGACGTCATCATGGGCTGATGCATGCTCGGAAGATCTCAAATATATCATCAATTTCAAAAAGGTAATTGTTGAAAGTTGAAACTATAGATAACTTTTCTCACTGTCTGCTTATGCTGTTATTATTTGGCTAAAAATCTATTATTAAAGTCTGCCCAAGTCGGATTAAATAAAAAAAATTCTTAAATGCAATATATTCAAAGTAAAAATCCCATGATTGTTTTATTGTCATTAACAGGTAAAGAAAATTTCCTGGTGTTCGAGTGTTTGAGAAGACCGGCTAGGACATCAATCAACTAAGGTGAGATACAACAATAAATATCCAACTGCGATAAATAATCATTCATTCAATGCAGTAGAAAAGTTTTTAAAACGCCGAGATTTATATATTAATTTTTTAATTTGGTGCTTCTAGACTATTTCTTAGAACACGGATTTAAGAAACACCCAATTAATAGGAAATATTGAGCCACTAAATTTCTTGATTGACCTTTTTCGTTATTTTTTGAGCCTTGCTAGGCCGGGCACAACGTTTCATATATAGGGCAGTTGTCGGATTAGCTTGGATTCTACCCTGAAAAAAAGTAGATATAAATTGTGCTATAACATATCAGAATATCAATTCTCTTGTTTTTTAACCCAGGTCCACTGAACGTATCGTATTGCTTGTCGTTCATGTTCGTTATACGAACACATCTTGATGTAGAATCAGAGCCATCGGGTGAAGTGCAAAGGGCGCGAAGATGGAAGATAGGACTCTTCGCTTCGCTAGATGGATATTTCATTTGTGTGGTACTTGAAAATCATTCTTGTCTGTCGATTAATTAGTTAGTCAGCAAGGAATGATTAGATAGGTTTCGACAGACGAATCTAGACTAGGGGGTTTAATAGGCTGTTATAAGGACTGTTTATAATGAAAAACTCTTATAATATCAAATATTCTTCTAATGATAATCTGCTCTTTATGAGCGTGTACATAATACCAGCATAAATGGGTATAAATTTCTAATTGAACTTTCATTTTGCATCATTCTCGTGTAGCGATCCACACAGTAATAATTTGTGGACGATTTTGTATGATTCATCACTAATAATATATATGTGAAATAGGGTAAACTTACCATATTTTTCTTTTATTAATGCCGAAACCTTTCTATAATTGTAATTAGCGATGTGATACTTTTAGAATTGAGCAAAATTTGCTCCTCAAAATTTGACCGGCCGAATTAAAAGAAGGGTTTCGGTTAGGCTTAACACTGCACTGAATTATGTATTCTTTAGTTAGATAGGGCGATAGGGTTTATCCATAACTTCGGGGATTAAGCTTCAAAGTCTCCTAAATTAAATCGGTCTCGTGGAGCACATATTTGGATGAGACTTGGGCTTTTCCCCTTGCATGTTAGGCCATAGTACAGGGTGCCAGCAAATTGTGGGACGAAGCAGACGAATGACATCGAAAAGTAACACAATAGTACCACAATTCCTCTTTAGTGCAATAAAAGGCCATAAATTCCAAACTTGACTACAGATTGTTTTCTGAATCGTATGTTTGGTTTATTTTAATATTCAGATTCATTTGAAAACCATTGGCCACTATTGCGCTCAAAGAGGTAAAGTCTTGGTTTAATATTGAACGGGTTTTTCTGTACGTTGAACTCAGATTCAATATTACCAAGCCCAGTAGCACAAAGCTTCTGGTAAGGTAGTTAGACTAGGGCAAGTATAGTAGTTGATGACTTGGCATTGTGACGCAAACAATTGTACTATTGTTCAATTAGACCCATGAACCATGACAAAAGATGATATAAAACTGAAATTTAAAAATTGAACGCATTATTACGATTAGATCAACTTTTCGCCAAAGCAAAGTCGTCTACTATGCCTCCTAGATGTTGCCTTAGGTTCTCCGGCCGGAAACTTAGGGTTTGTTAGGCCGGTCAGCTTTCAGGATATATCAAGAGTTTAGTACGGTAGTCATAAACAAACTCATAAATTGCAATATTTGGGTTCGTGTTTATGATTGCAGGGGGAGCCAGCGCCCGCGTTCCGATCTAGATAGCCTGAACCCCTGGTGCTTGCACCATTTAGCCAGGATTCATTCGACGTAGCATAGTGAAATCGCCCGCGCACATGATAAATACAGTTTTGGTTAACAAAAGCTGAACTTAGGCAGGTTAGAATATATATGTAGGGAACGCTTCGTTCATTGCAATAATAGACCAGGTTGGCGCTGGATAGACTTTGTATGTCGCTGGGAAGTTGAGAGGGGTGGTTGGGACGGCCGAATAGTTAGTACTTAGTTAGGGATAGATAGGAATAAGGGTGATAAGTTATTATCACTCTCACTTGTTGTCCTCTCGTGACTTCAAGCTGGATTTGATAATTTACTTTTTCACGGTGATAGGGGGACGCATTAGGAGAATGAATCATGTAACGGTTCTCAGACATCTTGTCTGGGGTTTGAAACTCTTTCTCTTCTAATCTACTAGGCTATATTTGTTACACTTGTGCATAGTTTATTTTTTCATAATGTCTTAGCGACAAAACCATGTTTATACATTGTGTATACATTGTCGTGTAATAGAATGCAAGGCATTTGTCATATTCGACTTAGTTTTCCATCGTGTTCACATACACGGTGATATCGTGCGGTAAAATGCAAGACATTCATTATTTACAGACTTGGTTCTGTATCATGTTTATATACACCCTACTGTCGTGCAATCAAATTCAAGACATTAATTTTGTGTTCATGGTTATTGTGTTCCGAGACAAAAACCATATAGCCGTGCATTCAAATGCAAGGCATCTATGTGCAGTGCCGTGCGAACAATTGTACGGCACTTTTTATTTCACACATAATATATTTGTTATTTTTTGTGTTATTTTAGTGATCATATACTCGAAAATTTGCTTCTATATAAACTAGCCTACTATCATTTCGTCAACTAACACTGTTTTCATATTTTCAGATATCATCAACAGAAGATGAGCATTAGTTATATTCAATAATATTTGCCAATGCATAACTTAATTCGACTGATCCAGCTTAATTACCAAATCCATATCAATTGACTTGAAAATCCTTTTCCAATGATATGAAACGGCTGGTTTGAATTGACAAATGAAATAAATTTGGCCAAAAACGATATTTGCCTAAATTAACAAGTTTCCGCAAATGTGAAATGACTATATCTCAGATTGATCTGAAATGGGGCGTTAAGTAACAAAGTTGTCTAACAGAATAAAAAACAAATTCGACTGTCGAAAAGTTCCGAAACTTTGATCTGAGAGCTATGAGTTGATGATATAAGTTATGTGAATCGGACCAGCAAAATATAGATGACTTGAAAATTTGACATTATCTTGCTTACCAAAATCTTGCATAAGGATAAAGGACTATTTCGAAGGATTTATATATTTATCTTGGGGTAAGAGGTACGCCAATATGACAACTTAATCACATGGCGAACCACGGCCTCTCGTCTACCATTTCATCTCGAGTATGGAATTATTAGGCCAGGTTTTTGTTTCGGATGTATGAACTGGGTTTCAGATGCATGGAATTAGTGGCGAAGGAAGCCATAACGAACCACGGCCTCTCGTTCGGCTACCATTTCATATCGAGTATAGAACTACTACGTTATTTGTTTCGGAGGTATTGGCTGGGTTTTAGATGCATGGACTTCGTGGGGAAGAAAGCCATAGCGAAGCACGGCCTCCCGTTTGGTTACCATTTTAAATCGAATTACTAAGCTAGTTATTTGTTTCGGATGTATGGACTCAGATACAAGGAATCGGTGGCGAAGGAAGCCATAACGAACCACGGCCTCTCGTTCGGTTACCATTCCATATCGAGTATAGAATTGCTAAGCCAGTTTTTTGTTTCGGATGTACGGACTTGATTTCAAATGCATGAACATGATGGTTGAGGAAGTTCATAACCAACCAGCGGTCACCTGAACCATCGCTTGTTAAGGTATCAATGCCTGAACTACACTCACTGATAAATTTGGCGTCGAACATCAATTGGTTTAACAAAAACTTGAAATAATATGAGATGAAAGATTCAATTTGGTGCTAAAAATAAGCTGCGCCATCAAACATTTCGACTCTACACAGTTCCCATTAATGTTTCAAATTTATTGAAATGACTGTTTCGGATTAGCACTAAAATTGAGTTAACCGACTTTAAAATGATAAAAGCTTCTAATGCTTCCAAATGGTTGGCTTAAATTTGCGACTAAAAAATTAATTACGGGTTCCCTGAGTAGTATATGTGTGTCGAACACAACACATTTTTGTTGTGCAAATGGTTGTGCGTGCAAATGGTTGTGCAAAGCGTGTCCAGATTGACTTTTTGTTGTGCTGTATAATTGTGTTATGTTGTTTTGTAATATTGTTTCCGGTATCGGGGGATTAAGATTTTCGCATTGTTCTGTGAATCGGCCCATCGTTGTCAACCGTTTTTATTTTGAGCGCGTTTTTTTCTTTTTCAATTTTTTACATTTTGATTTGTATTTTACAGTTTTCATTTTTCATTACTCTTTTATTTTATTTTCGGTTTATTTTTGATTTTGAAAATTTTATCTATTTATTTTTAATTTTTTTTTAAATTTTACGCATGACAACGATGGGCTACCATACTTAAGTTTATGGCATATTTTGTACTTTGTGTTCATATATTTGAGCATTGAGCAAAACAATATATATGAGAAGGGTTTAAATCTTGGGAGCCCAAATGCAGTTAGAATAGCTAGAAAAAATACCTCCGGATCTTTTGTACAAATTCCTTGCCGACAATTCAAAAAATCTGAGATATCAGAAAAACACCCCCGCCATGTTTTAAAATAATAAATTTGTAATTATCCAGTTGAGGTTAGGAATGATTTGAAAATTCGAATTTTCATTGCAAGTTGCATTCCTCGCCCTGACCCTAACTCCTTTTTTATTTTGGGCCGAGTGATGCAGTTATGTATGGAGTGGCGATTTATTTCGTGTTTAGGAAATCATGCAAAACAATAGAGCGTCGTATTTCGTGTTAAGTGAGTTTTCAGTTTTTGCGCATCTGTTGACCGATTGGAACAAACGGATATATTAAAAGATAGAATTACATGAATAATATAATGATGTACTGACTGTAAAAATTACAATAAATAAGAAACAGCTGACGAAAAAAAGGTCGTGTTTTCCGGTCTAGTCTCTATAAAACGCGAAACTGAAATCAGCATACCATTCGTGAGTTTTAGCGACAGACAAGCATCGACTTTTGCAACAACGCGCAGTATGCCTCAAAGAAAGCGTGCTAATTTAACCTCTGTGAAAGAACCATGCTCTTCCAAACGTCGACTTTTTGGAAAACAACTAAAGGTTTCAGATATACGTGAAGCTGCGCCTTACGTGACCGTACATGGTGTTATTTTTGACCTTTTGCCGGTGAAAGAAACTCCGAAATGTCGATTTTTCACCGGGAGTCTGACTGATGGTCAAAAGTTTATTGAATTTGTTTGTTTTCACTCAATACAATACAATACAATACAATTTTATTTCGATCTTTCGTCTACAACACAAATAAAAAGAACACAGAACAAGGTCAACTGAAAGATCGGGAAAACGGGCAAAACCTATATAAAGGTTTATAACGAACGCTGTAACCAGCGATTGTGCCCATTCACCCACATTCACACACGTGAAACACACCAAGACAATCATACTAGAATAAATTAATGAACAGAGTACATGGTCACGAGAAAATAAATTTCACGAGCAAAGCTTACTTGTAATGTTGTAAATAATTTTGATGAGTGAAAGTCGTGAAGAATACAAAAACATTTAGAAGTTATGTGACGGTGCCTGTGCCGAAATGCGAATACCAATAATAACGATTAATTGATTAGCTGCTGTTTTTTTGTAAACAAACAAAACTAAAAAGTAAACAACAAACATAAAAACACGAAAACTAGTTTCGGGCGTTGCTTTGGTTCGAATTCGTAGAAATTGGAGTAAATGTCACTCGAAGAAATTCGCGGAATTGAAAGAATATTTTGATAAACAACGCCCAGTTGCTTTTGAGTTTGTCGACGTGATACCGAACACGAGAAGGAGTGATTTACAGATTAAAGTTTTGTCAGATTCTTCCTTTAAAGGGTCCGACTTTAAGTTTACACTCGACGCTGTTGACTGTTATTCACCTATTGTGAACGTTTTGGATAGCGAGATCTCTTGGTGTAACATAGTCGCCGACGTTATCGACATCGAACCTATTAAGGAATTGGAAGTGCACAATCGTAAAGTATTCATGTGAGATGTTACACTAGCTGACTCTTCTGGGCATATACGACTAAAACTTTGGGGTAGCCACACAAACGCTTTCAAGATCGGAGACTGCTTACGCCTGAGACATTTGAAGCTGAATGAATTTAATGGACGTCGGTACGTGCAATTGACAAAGTTTAGCAGATTTGACAGAATTAATCTTGTAGTGGGAAGCTCTCCAACAGAAGTAACCGAACTTACTAATACCTTAAACGACTATACCGATCCTTTGGAAACGAAGATCGTCTGCCCTTTAGATGAGTTGACAAATAGCATGCTTGCTTAATTTTTTTCTCGTTTTTGAGATTGTCACTGATTCTTTTAACAATAAATACACGGATTTCTGTTCTGAATACATTTATTATAATCAACACATGAAAGTTACTACTAGGCAATTAAACAAGATAGGTAGTCAGTCACTAACGCGTCGTTAGCCTGGAGGTCTTCTCCGAAGAGTGAGACGATGTTGTTCGAAATTAAATTTTAAGTTTATCTATAATAAGAAGCAATCTAAATATTTCCAAAACTATCCCGCGTTTCGTCGAAATCTACTACGTTTTATCTAGTCTGTCTACGTTTCGCCAAAGAGCGATCGTTTTACCGCGGTTTCACACGATGCCATGTGTTATCAAATATATAGTGCAATTAGACCCATGAACCATGACATAAAATGATTTAAACTGAAATTTAAAAATTGAACTCATTATTACGCTTAGATCAACTGTGCGCCAAAGCAAAGTCGTCTATTATGCCTCCTATATGTTGCCTTAGGTTCTCCGGAAGGTAACTTAGGGTTTGTTAGGCCGGTCAGCTTTCAGGATATATCAAGAGTTTAGTACGGTAGTCATAAACAAACTCATAAATTGCAATATTTGGGTTCGCGTTTATGATTGCAGGGGGAGCCAACGCCCACGTTCCGATCTAGATAGCCTAAACCCAGGGGCGGATTAACCAGTAAACAATATAAGCACGTGCTTAGGGCACCAAGCAAAGGGGGGCACCACAGAAATTTTTATAACAGAATTTTCAATAGTTCATCGGTGTTTAATAAAATATTACGAGTTGAACAGACAACTCAGACTCGTTCGTATTTTCTTTTCCTCAAGCATCATATTAAGCTTCTCGATCAATGTTTGGAGGTTTGCGAACTATCTTTAAAAAATCGTGTACATCAATGGACCTTTCCTCGACCTTTGACCCCGAAAAATTCTTCCTATACTTTACAATTGCAAAATTCTCGGGGCTTATTTTAAGAGTGGTTTCGCGAGTTGGCCCCTGTAAAATGGGGTATTTGTTGAGACCATCATTATGTTCCATGGCGTACAATAATCACCTTTTTATAAGTACCGGTAAGGAATTTTAGCCTGGTCTAACACAGCTATTTTTACACCAATTTTTCATTTACTGCAATTGAATTAAAACTTATAAAAAGACATGGTGATCATTTAATTATCTGATTTATACTCAAATTTCCGAAACACAACTGAAAACTAACGAATAGAGATAAAAAACGCGAAAACGAGGTAATGTTTACAACCATGCCTGAAAATCTGTCTGAGTGAGAAAAGTGTCTGAGCGGATGCGAAAAGGGTGCATTGTTACGTCACTTTTTTGCATCTTGCTGATTGGCCAATTACTCGAAGTCAACAAGGAGGTTGATGCTCGGGGAAGGTACATTAGTGATGAACACTGAAACTTACTAGTCGAAAGTTTGGTGTAGCGACAACATCAAAATTAAAAATGGTGCACTATGTGGCGGTTCCGCGATCGCATTTCAGCGATCTAGAGGTCAGCGAAGTTGGGGAGTTTTCTGGTAAGGTAGACTAGACTAATAAGTACTGGTAAAATTTTAAACTGCAGTTTGTACTCGGTTCATCTGGTATTTCGATTCACGTTGAGACTTGACGCATGAGTCTTAATCGTGACAATTCCCAGAATATATGGAAATCATATTCTGCTAAGCCAGTTGATGCAAACCTAGGCAGCTAGACTACTTATATTGCAGATAAAATGCAAGAGCTGGATTTCGTTTTATGTTATTGTTTCGGAATGAAATTTTACAGAATTTTCACAGAGTAAGTCAAGTTCTGCAAAGTGAAAATGTAGACTTACAAACATGCGCGCATCTGTATGCAACATTACGAGGCCAGCTGCGCATTCCACGAGATGAATTTGAACGCTATGAAGCGCTCACGCTACCACTGCAACCAAATGTCTCTTCATCTGCTGAGAAGGGCAGGTATTCGCATGGTTGTCAAAAGCTTATTGATGCTTACCCAGAAGATTTCAACAGTAATTTCTCAGCTGAGCTTCAGCAGTTTCATTTATATGTGCTCCATAAATTCAATGACACAGGAAAAAAAAATCAAGATTCAGTCATGCTGAACTTTACAAAATTCTTGTAGAATATAACATTGCGTGCGCCTTTCCAAATGTAGACAATAGTTTTCGAATATTTTTAACATTAATGATTACAAATTGTTCAGCAGAACGTTCATTTTCTCAGCTGAAGTATATTAAAAACCCATACAGAACAACTATGAAACAAGACAGACTAGAATACTAGATGCTTTATCTCTGTTGAGTATAGATAGAGGCAGATGTGTTACATAAGCTTAGTTTTGAGGATCTAATCAAAGACTTTGCAGCTAAAAAAATTAGGAAAAAACTTTTCAAAGTAAGTGAAAGACTTCTGTCTTTTCAAATGTTAGTGGTGCCTTTGTAATGTCAGTGGCGTAGTATCTAGTATGGAGAGAGACTTGTTTTTATAATATGAGAAAATTTATCAGAATCAAATTCAAGTAAATGTACCGAAAAACATCGTTTGCTTCCTTACTGTTGGTATTGTTTTATTTCAATTTCATCTTTTCAAAATTTTGTGTTGTTCATTATTTAATGTAAAAGATGTATTATGTAAGAATAGGATTAGTTTTGGGAATATGAGCAAAATTTCACAGTCAAAAAATTGTAAGAAAACCTAAGAATGTTCGTAGAATTTTTATTTTTTTACTGTTGGTTGTGAGTATTTTTGATGGATAATACACTTAATTATATGTATTTTAAAAGACACATATGGGGGCACCAAAGCCTCCAGTGCTTAGGGCACCAAAGGGGCTTAGTTCGCCCCTGCCTAAACCCATTTACTTGCACCATTGCACTTGCACCATTTAGCCAGGATTCATTTGACGTAGCAGAGTAAAATCGCCCGCGCACATGATAAATACAGTTTTGGTTAACAAAAGCTGACCTTAGGCAGGTTAGAACATGTAGGAAACGCTTCGTTCATTGCAATAATACCCCAGGTTGGCGCTGAATAGACTTTGTTAAACTAGGGTGAAAAATTGCATGTCGCTGGGAAGTTGAGAGGGGTTGTTGGGACGGCCGAATAGTTAGTACTTAGTTAGGGATAGATAGGAATAAGGGTGATAAGTTATTATCACTCTCACTTGTTGTCCTCTCTTGTGACTTCAAGCTGGGTTTGATAATTTACTTTTCACGGTGATAGGGACGCATTAGGACAATGAATCATGTAACGGTTCTCAGACATCTTGTCTGGGGATTGAAACTCTTTCTCTTCTAATCTACTAGGCTATATTTGTTACACTTGTGCATAGTTTACTTTTTCATGGTTTAATGTCTTAGCGACAAAACCATGTTTATACATTGTGTATACATTGTCGTGCAATAGAATGCAAGGCATTTGTCATATTCGACTTAGTTTTTCATCGTGTTCACATACACGGTGATGTCGTGCGGTAAAATGCAAGACATTTATTATTTACTGACTTGGTTATATATCATGTTTATATACACCCTACTGTCGTGCAACCAAATGCAAGACATTAATTTTGTTTTCATGCTTATTGTGTTCGAGACAAAAACCATATGGCCGTGCAATCTATATGCAGTGCCGTGCAAACAATTGTACGGCACTTTTTAATTCACACATATTTGTTATTTTAGTGATCATATACTCGAAAATTTGCTTCTATATAAACTATCCTACTATCATTTCGTCAACTAACACTGTTTTCATATTTTCAGATATCATCAACAGAAGATGAGCGTTAGTTATATTCAATAATATTTGCCAATGCATAACTTAATTCGACTGATTCAGCCTAATTACCGAATCCATATCAATTGACTTGAAAATCCTTTTCCAATGATATGAAACGGCTGGTTTGAATTGACAAATGCAATAAATTTGGCCAAAAACGATATTTGCCTAAATTAACAACTTTACGCAAATGTGAAATGACTATATATATCTCAGATTGATCTGAAATGGGGCGTTAAGTAACAAAGTTGTCTAACAGAATAAAAAACAAATTCGACTGTCGAAAAGTTCCGAAACTGTGATCTGAGAGCTATGAGTTGATGATATAAGTTATGTGAATCGGACCAGCAAAATATAGATGACTTGAAAATTTGACATTATCTTGCTCACCAAAATCTTGCATAAGGATAAAGGACTATTTCGAAGGACTTATATATTTATCTTGGGGTAAGAGGTACGCCAATGTGACAACTTAATCACATGGCGAACCACGGCCTCTCGTCTACCATTTCATCTCGAGTATGGAATTATTAAGCCAGGTTTTTGTTTCGGATGTATGGACTGGGTTTCAGATGTATGGAATTGGTGGCGAAGGAAGCCATAACGAGCCACGGCCTCTCGTTCGGCTACCATTTCATATCGAGTATAGAACTACTACGTTATTTGTTTCGGAGGTATTGGCTGGGTTTTAGATGCATTGACTTCGTGGGGAAGAAAGCCATAGCGAAGCACGGCCTCCCGTTTGGTTACCATTTTAAATCGAATTACTAAGCTAGTTATTTGTTTCGGATGTATGGACTCTGTTTCAGATACAAGGAATCGGTGGCGAAGGAAGCCATAACGAACCACGGCCTCGCGTTCGGTTACCATTCCATATCGAGTGTAGAATCGCTAATCCAGTTATTTGTTTCGGATGTACGGACTTGGTTTCAAATGCATGAACTTGATGGTTAAGGAAGTCATAACCAACCAGCGGTCACCTGAACTACACTCACTGATAAATTTGGCGTCGAACACCAATTGGTTTAACAAAAACTTGAAATAATATGAGATGAAAGATTCAATTTGGTGCTAAAAATAAGCTGCGCCATCAAACATTTCGACTCTACACAGTTCCCAATAATGTTCCAAATTTATTGAAATGACTGTTTCGAATTTGCACTAAAATTGAGTTAACCGACTTTAAAATGGTAAAAGCTTCTAATGCTTCCAAATGGTTGGTTTAAATTTGCGACTAAAAAATTAATTGACATGACAACGATGGGCCACCATACTTATGCGTTAGTCATTAAGTTTATGGTATATTTTGTACTTTGTGTCCATATATTTGAGCATTGAGCAAAACAATATATATGAGAAGGGTTTAAATCTTGGGAGCCCAAATGCAGTTAGAATAGCTAGAAAAAAAAACTCAGATCTTTTGTACAAATTCCTTGCCGACAATTCAAAAAATCTGAGATATCAGATTAAACACCCCCGCCATGTTTTAAAATAATAAATTTGTAATTATCCACTTAAGGTTAGTTAGGAAGGATTTGAAAATTCGAATTTTCATTGCAAGTTGCATTCCTCGCCCTGACCCTAACTCCTTTTTTATTTTGAGCCGAGTGATGCAGTTATGTATGGAGTGGCGATTTATTTCGTGTTTAGGAAATCATGCAAAACAATAGAGCGTCGTATTTCGTGTTAAGTGAGTTTTCAGTTTTTGCGCATCTGTTGACCGATTGGAACAAACGGATATATTAAAAGATAGAATAACATGAATAATATAATGATGTAATGACTGTAAAAATTGTAATAAATAAGAAACAGCTGACGAAAAAAAAGGTGTTTTCCGGTCTAGTCTCTATAAAACGCGAAACTGAAATCAGCATACCATTCGTGAGTTTTAGCGACAGACAAGCATCGACTTTTGCAACAACGCGCAGTATGCCTCAAAAAAGCGTGCTAATTTAACCTCTGTGAAAGAACCATGCTCTTCCAAACGTCGACTTTTTGGAAAACAACTAAAGGTTTCAGATATACGTGAAGCTGCGCCTTACGTGACCGTACATGGTGTTATTTTTGACCTTTTGCCGGTGAAAGAAACTCCGAAGTGTCGATTTTTCACCGGAGTCTGACTGATGGTCAAAAGTTTATTGAATTTGTTTGTTTCACTCGAAGAAATTCGCGAATTGAAAGAATATTTTGATAAACAACGCCAGTTGCTTTGAGTTGTCGACGTGATACCGAACAAGAGAAGGGTTGATTTACAGATTAAAGTTTGTCAGATTCTTCCTTCAAAGGGTCCCGACTTTAAGTTTACACTCGACGCTGTTGACTGTTATCACCTATTGTGAACGTTTGGATAGCGAGATCTCTTGGTGTAGCATCGAACCTATTAAGGAATTGGAAGTGCACAATCGTAAAGTATTCATGTGAGATGTTACACTAGCTGACTCTTCTGGGCATATACGACTAAAACTTTGGGGTAGCCACACAAACCAAACGCTTTCAAGATCGGGAGCTGCTTACCGCCTGAGACTTTGAAGCTGAATGAATTTATGGACGTCGGTACGTACAATTGACAAAGTTTAGCAGATTTGACAGAATTAATCCTGTAGTGGGAAGCTTTCCAACAGAAGTAACCGAACTTACTAATACCTTAAACAACTATACCAATCCTTTGGAAACGAAGATCGTCTGCCCTTTAGATGAGTTGACAAATAGCATGCTTGCTTAATTTTTTTCTCGTTTTTGAGATTGTCACTGATTCTTTTAACAATAAATACACGGATTTCTGTTCTGAATACATTATTATAATCAACACATGAAAGTTACTACTAGGCAATTAAACAAGATAGGTAGTCAGTCACTAACGCGTCGTTAGCCTGGAGGTCTTCTCCGAAGAGTGAGACGATGTTGTTCAAAATTAAACTTTAAGTTCATCCATAATAAGAAGCAATCTAATTATTTCCAAAACTATCCCACGTTTCGTCGAAATCTACGTTTTATCTAGTCTGTCTACGTTTCGCCAAAGAGCGATCGTTTTACCGCGGTTTCACACGATGCCATGTGTTATCAAATATTCTGAGCGATCCCAAGCGGCGGCTATTAGATTTATACGCGTATTAATGAAACAAAAACAAGGGGATGGGATTATTGCGTCTCGTAGTTTAAAGGCATAATATGATTCAATTTAAGCACACTACACAAATGGACAGTAAACAAACAAAGATCAGGAAATATTTAAGATACATGATGGCAGTATTAAAATTTTCTTTGAAAGTGAGATTCGTAACCGTTTTTGAACCGAGGAAATCACGTTATAGTCTTAACTTTATACTAAGTCAACGGAAAGGTCCTTGATCCCTCAACGAAAGTTAAAATAGTTGGATGATGTACAAAATGAACTAAATTGAGTTGGTGTATAATGCGTTTAATACTAGCTGCTATTTTCCAGCAATTAGTGCGGAGGTTATGTTTCATGAATAAGTTAAATATGGGATCTTATTGTCTTTTGTATGTTGTACGTGTACCAGATGAGATGCAATCGTAGATGTGTGCTTTTGTGGAAGAGGGTGCTCAAGAATTAAATAAAAAACAGTGAAATTTTAGATTAAACATTGGCTCTGTTAAAGTAACAAAAATTTCTGACACATTATATATAGGCTGGTTTACATAAAAATAAAGCTTTCTGTAATAGACTTCGCCAGTTGTGCGATACGAAACAAAAAAATATCCACAAAAGATTTGAAGTCTGTTGGAGAATCGATTGTGAAAGCACAGAGTAACATATCACATATGAGAGTATGTTGAAATTTCACTTATAGGATTACTTTTACCTATTCAGAAATTCAACAGCAACGTGAAAAGACAGGAACGTGACTCAGTATAACGAAAATTTATGATATAAAACTGTTCAAATACACAGAAAACATTACGAATATTCAGAAGTTATATTTGGATACTTCAACGATTAAGTGTAATAATAATTTTCATTCAGTCCACCAAAGCAATCCAATAGCACAGCCGCAGAACATTCACTTGTATAATTCAGTTAAGTGATATTCACTGGTCAAATTTTGCGAAACAGTTTTTTGATCCACCCATGGAAAAAAGAAGAAATATGACATCAATCAAGAATGCTTTGGCTACATCGGAGTAGAGAAGTGAGTGCATGTTTCATACTTCCATATTGAATGTATATAAATTCTAGGTAGGGTTATCTTTGACAAGTTAATGATTCAGGTAATTTTTTAAAATCTTTTTACCGCGTGGGTTTGCGATTGTGCCTAGTGTACAAGTAAGAAAATTGTGTTCTTTGACAATTTACATGTGGGATATTTTCATTTTAAAAACTGGGCTTTGAGGCCCGCAGATTATAAAAAAAAGGTTTTGATATTTCTGGATCTGCATTTGTACCCGGACGAACAATCTGGCCAAACAGAGAAGGAGCTGGATATTCTTTTGTTATGAAGGAATTCGGGGATCATTGTCGTTTCTTGTCAACTCGAATATTGTGCGCAATATCATTAGAATTGGGTTTCAAGGAAACTCCATGAACTCTCAATCTGAGTGCAGATGACATCGTATTATGCTAACTAGAAAATAAATAAAAAAAAATTTTACTACTTTCAATTCATATAATTTCCTAGCAAACTTAGTGAGCTATATATGATTCATATGACAACATGGCGTATTACTTGTTTGTTGAAAACTTTCAACAGCTTTTGCAATTTGCAAAAATTGCAATTATTGCAAGAATTTAAGATAGTTTTGATTATCCCAACTTCTCTCAAATTGAGTAACATTGGACGAAATCTTACCATTTCGAGCGCGGTAAAGCATTTTCGAGACCTTGTGTATACGTTTGGGGCAACGTCAGACCTATGAAAGATGTCCAGTGTCGTCGCCATAAAACTCCGCTGTTACATACGATATTATCTTGGCGTCGTAAAGCTATCAAGCGTGATGCAGCAACAAGACAGTGTCACATTAAATGTCATTGTAATAATTTTTTAATAAGACGACTGAGTTGAATTCACGAATTGTCGCAGTTTTTACGCACTGTTCCGTTTTTAACTTTAAAAAATATAAGCGACCCGCAAAAAACTAGCAACCCTAAATTTTGTCCCGCGAGCGAAATAAAATTTGCCGACAACTGGGCCGTACGTAGCCGAAAGTCGGTCACGACTTCTTCCACATCCGAGTCCATGAATCCAAAAACAAATGGCTGATTAATTCTGTGGACTGGAGATCGTGGTAGGATGAGGAATCGGGGATGAATTTTACCGAAATATTTTGGTGCAGGTCATCAGGCTGTAGGAATGAATTAGATGTACGAAAATCATTAATATATGAAAAATTAACTTTGTTTTCATTATTTTAATATGAAATGGGGTGAATTCGGGGAGTAAAATGCTATAAGACAAGAGTACACGGCGGTTTTTGAGGAGGTAGAACCCTGAATTCTTTCATTTCCGACCTAATATATCGACGCATGAAATCCAAATTGGGCTAAGTCCATTTTTCTAGTTTTGAGAAAAACGCAAAAAACGTTTTTTTTTTGTTTCTTTTTTATATTTCTCTAATACCTTACATCAAGGATGTCTAGTTTTTATGGTCCCCCAAAGTTACAATGAAGACCATATTTTAATGGTATAAAAAAAATTTGTGCTCCCCCCCAATTTTTTTTTTTTGGGAGTTTTTTGGACTTAACTCTTTTTGGCTCTCAGTTTTCTGGACTAGAAACAATTTTATTGGACTTAGGGCCCCTTTATTATGTTATTGTAGAGGCAACTTATCATTGATGAACGTCAATAATTCCCTTTTACAATGTTTTTGACATTATTTGTGAGCTTATTTTTACAATGAAAAATATTCCTGCTTCTGAATCTTGATGACAATGGTTATCTAGCCTCCAATTTTTATCAGACCGCTGTTGCTACTGATTACTGCATTTGTTTACCTTCTCAGAACCATTACCAACTAAATTACTAAACAAATATAGAAAAGAAATTGTTGTAAATCATCAATCAGGGATGGTTAAAGAAAACAGAAAAAAATGCCCAGCATGAAAACAGTTTTAAATAGGCTTAATTTTACAAAAGTTCCAATGAATGTTTTTTTTTAAGATAGTCTTTCTGTTCATGAGATCTAACTTTCATCAACTACTGGAAGCATTTCGTAGAATGCCTTGTGGTTTGGAGGGATTAAATTCTTATTACATAATGTTGTCAAACTCTTGTATTTCTCACTGCTGACTGGCAGCCTTTCCTGGTAAAGCTGGGGTAGCTTTTCTATATTCTGTATTTTTTGTGTTGCTGATCTTGCTGACTTTCGAACCAAAGAGTTAAGGTCAACTCTCTGGAGCTCTCATCCAAGTAACTGTACTTAAATTGCAATATACTAGGTTCAGTTTTTTTCAATTTTGCCTGTAAAATTTTGGACCAATAGAGCCTTTCACCTGTCTGAGAGCCAGTTTGAATTGTAATAATGTTCTTCCAAATTCCAGCGTATTTAGGGAAGTCAGATGCTGATTTGAAATTAACGAAATCTCCATGCTTCAGCAGAGTTATTTCGGGTTTTGTTTTTTAAACGCCATTGAAATGGCAGTTTCCCAGTGGTCGGTCGTATAAATGTTCACTTTTCGTACAGCTCTTTCAATCACCGAATGTGCTGTGTCATTCTCATTTTGAGAATGACCTGTAATTAAGAAAATTGAGTGCTATTTCATCAAAATGCAGCTCCTCCATAGCATAGAGTAACATCACAATCATAGCTCTGTTATTATTTTGCCCACTGCAGCGGTCACAGAACAGTTGCACAGTCTTCACTGTTGTGGTGAGAGAGGACAGGTATCGGAACACTGCAGTCGCTATTTCACAAGAGCCTTTTCGCCCTTCCACCTCATTCCAAAGATAGCAACTGGTTTGCATGGACTGAATGTCAGTAACTGTAAAGTTGAAATTTTTTAGCCTCTGTGTGTAGTAAAAGGAGGACACTTGTCCATGTGGACAAAGAAGAGTTTTCTGAAGGTCAAAAGCTGCCACATGAAGTGAAGCATCTGTTGTGGATTTTTCTTTCATTTCCCTCTTCATTGAACGCACCATGTCCTTTTCTTGAATATGCTTATTTTGATTTGCGAGATCTTCTTCAGTCAATAGAGATTTTGGCATATTTTGAAAGCTGGTGCATTGATCACACACATCCTTTTTAGGTCGATGAAACTTAAGATTGAATTTTTCATTGAATGTGCGTAAATAAAAATCATATGATTCAACTGGAGAGCTATTTTCTTCGCACCAAATCTTATACATTCTATACATTTCCCGAACAGTCAGATACTCAGGAAGATATTCCCATTGACTGTCTTTTCTCACATAATGTGATTCAACGACTGGAAACAATTTTATATGAGTAATAATTGGCTCCTCTCTTTCTCTGGTGACCTTGTTGTGGTCACCATCTCTTCCTCTCATATCTTTCTCCAGTGAACCAGCAGATGTTAATTTTCTCAGTGATGTCTCCACCCTTTTCTTGCTTATATTTAGGGTATCTAAAAAAAACTTCTGACACACTTGCACCAACTCATTGCTTTCTGGATTTGAAAAAGTGTAGACTCTGTTGACTTCTCGATTACGTTTTTGATCAGTCTTATTATCTTTTCTTAGTCTACTTCTCATTTTTTGTATTTCCTTGACGTATTTTGTTATAAACATTCGTTGCTTGTCCATGTCGCCTAGATTCCAGAATTGAATATTGATCATCATGCGAACTTCCTCTGATATTTTAGCCGTACATTTTTTTTTACATGAGCAAGACGGTTTGATTTTACCAATTTTTTTGGAAGAATCATTATCAGAGCCAAATCCTCTTTTTCCATGGTTTAAATCCGTTCGTCTTTTGTTTTTCTTCCAAGTTTCAGGCTTTCTTTTCCTTTTCCTAGCCTCCAGCACATCCGGACTTTTACCCTCTGTTGGACAATCTATTGACATGGTAGTAGACAATTTCACAATTTGATTCATATTCCACAGGAGTGACGATCCAGGGGAATGATAGTCCTCATCAAAGTTTTCCCATACTTGACAATCTTTGAGAATTTTTGTTATGAAAAAGCAGCCCTCATCTTTTTCCATTTCTCTTGCACAGGCTGATTCAATAGCATGATATTGTGCCCTGAAAATTTTCTTTCCTGTATAAAGCAGGTACACTTCCTCCTCATTATGCAATCCAGGCTTATTACTTACCAGGCTTATTACTACTGGGCTGCATAACACATGCTGTTTGTGGAGTTGAAATTGATGTCAAATCCACGATTTGCTGATCTGTGTCTGAATCACTGTCAGAGAAGTATATTCTCCAGTGGTGTTGATTTTTCTCTGGGATATATTCTGGATCATTGTCATCATCCACTGATATATCGGACTCCGAAAGAATATCACTTTCCTCAATCTGCTCTGAATTTCTGCTTCGATAACGCAATCTAGCTCTTTTCTGACACAGAATATTGACAAAGTCCCTATTAATGAAGTGATTGTGTTGTCTAGGAAGAATCTCACTCTTAAGTGTTGCTGTAAATGCTCAATATTTCACCTCTTAGAATGGAGTTTTCTTTGTGCTGCAATGTTTGCTGTAACCAGGGACTTGCTTCATCAAAATACGTTGCATACACAAACACTTCACAGCCTAGCTCTGGGTTTTCTCACATGCAGTCCAACTCTAGTACCGCCATTATTGTTTCAAGAGTCATAATTATTCTGTATTATAATATAGCTGATAACTAAGAGCTAGGCTATGTCTCATTCTGAAAAACATTATGAAAAGAGCTTGACAAAAATTATGGTGAATGCTATTTACAAATTCAGGTAAGGTGTCAAATGACACTGTCAAGGGAAATGATTTTCTATAGATTGGACTGAGACCAATAATCATATTCTGGCTAGATTTTCTTATCAGATGCGATATCTTAACTGAATAAAGTTCTCTGACTGGTTCACACTGGCCTACTTGAAATTTCCATAATTCTGTAAATAATAATTATTTAAAAACAGCCGTTTGAAAGTGGTTATGGCAATGAATTACAACTCACTCATTCCCTCTACTGTAAACATAAGAAACAGCTAACACTGGGCTATGACTGAGAGCTGATATGGACTTAGCGCTTTGTAATGTATTTATTTGAGATTTATGAACGAAGCTATGTCCAAAAAACGGACTTAGCCCCGACTTACAATGCAGTTATCCAGAGCTAAGTCCACGAAGTAGACACAGCTCTGTTTAGTTCTCAAATGCCCTAAAAAAAGCAGGGTTATGTCCATAGCTATCTTGAGATCTAGAGCACCTAGAGATAAGGTAAATAGACCAAAATGTAGAGCTAAGTCCAGAAAAATCAGCAGTTGAAAAATGTCATTTTGGGGAAAAGTGGACTTAGCACTGTTTGGTTTTGAGGCGTCGATATGGTAAAAAGGGGGTTTTCAACCGTGCTACTATTGCTATCAAAACAACGAAATCGCCTTTTTATCAGTAAACGAGTTAATTTTAGATATATTAAAAAACTCGCTGAAGAACACAAGCTCATCCATCTCATTAAAATACACTATAAACTATGAATTGGTACACACAATCTATCTTCAGTTGTGCGCCATCCTGCTGCACATACTTAATTATTGTGTAGAGCCACCTAATGTTTGAATGCATAACAAATTGTGTCGCCAATATCTTATCTGATATCTTTATATTACAATGACCAGATATCGAGTGTAGTAGCCATTGCATATGCAATATTACCAATGCATATATACAAGTACGGTGAACATTCGCCAGTGTTGTCCCAGTCTTCCCTTTCCCCGCTAAACTAATGAATAAATCTACAATATTCTCATTTGTACACGGTTAAAATAATGATCTTTCTTATATTCTTCTCATACAATATCTGAATACTCAGTTAGTTGTTTCTAAATTTACAAAACGCCTGCGAAATAATTGCTGAAAACCGGGCGCTCTTGGTGCGTTTTTTGCGTCTTAATTAGTAAACTAAAACGATATAAAGTAGTCATACGTATAAAAAGAAACCGACCGCTCGACATTGACGCCCCTGGCTTTTTGCGAGAGCCATGTGTATACTCTTGAGGGTTTGCCTGAAGTCGATGAAGGTCATTTTTTTATTCAGTCGGGAAGCGCACCCACTTGGAAGGCATAGTGCAATTATTCAGCGTTTAATGTTTATGATAGCGGCAATCTATCAGTGCTGTTTTAATTTTACGTGACACGAATGTGACTCCCTCAAACATAAATTATTTTATTGAAACAATATCTTACTTTTATATCGCGATCTACACAATAGGTGCCACAGAGATTATATAAGCATAGGCAAGTACGTCAACCTCGCCGAAGTGATTATTCAAAGCTTGGGTAATTTATTTACTGATGGCGACGTAGGTATTCTTGCCTTGTTCTCATTTTGCAGCTAAAACACACACCAAACGATCACCGATTTCATATTCGATGGTCGTATACGGACGTAACTTGTGTATACCCCTGGTTCAGAGTATATACCGAGACTCGTTAAAAGTCGAAAGGATTCAAAATAGATCTCCGAAATATTTAAATCATTAAAAAAAGTTTATTATATCGCTGAATATGGGTAGTAACTTCATTCCAGAAAAAAGTTGCCGAATCGATACTGGTATATTCGCATATGCGAAATGTGAATCATTTTCTGTGATATCTTATAAGGCGTTAGAGCACTTGCTTAGAGCTATACAGGTTATCCGGAAGAGTTACTTAAAACACTTTAGTGAAATTACGCCAGTAATGAAACATATTGTTTTATTTTATTTCGACAATTTTCTAACATAATAATGATTAACTTGCATTCTTCATGAGTAGGCTATCTAACTTGTCTAACATAAATTTCTAACATAATAATGATAAACTTGCATTCTTCATAAGTAGGCTATCTAGCTTGTCTATCGCTGAGAACTGTCAAAGAATCAAAAATTTGTCGTTGTGAAATGCTGTATTACTTTTTACTTGTAGTCTCTCCGTCTTTGAAAGGTGCAACACATTATGACTTCAACAATGGTAATTAGATGGCCAAAGGAATAAGATATGTTAAATTTGACAAAATACGCCATGTGTCACTACATCACCCGAGCCATCGTAATTTCCCATTCCGCCCCCTGGCGTGTTTGGGTCCACGAATACTTTTATGTCAATATTCACACGCTTAGCAAAATCAGTTCCAAGTTTTGGATATTCTCCAGCTATCCAGTTAGCATATGTTGCAACGTCACCATTGCGATATAGGACGTCCCCGGTCTGAAAAAAGAAAACAAAGCATCACTACATAATTTTTTTCTATATCGTTTTACCCTTAAGCAAAACTACAGCTCTAAAAGGAAGATTGAGGAAAACAAGTCTGTACGCGAAGGTTGGATAGTTATTCAGAATAAAGGGAATGAATTATGTTCTCCAGTCGTCATTTAAAACTACATTCTTTGGGTCAACATATGCGGAGCACAAAGTATACGAAAAGGCGAAGCACCATGCACAATAATCAAGTAGTTTTCACTGAAGTCGTTACTTAAAAGACTCCGTGAGCATTATTAGATCCTAATTCACCACAAAAAAAATCTTACAAGTGGGTTAAATCTCATTCCAATCCAAACGTAAACATGTTCAGAATTTGACGGCATTTCTGAACGAATTTTCACCAACATCTTATTGTAATGTTCTTGATTGTATACATTTGCAAGAAATCCACCCCTTTCTCTACAAATTGTTTTGGCATCAGTAAGCTTTATTAAATCAGATTTTGTGTGAAGTTCCAACCAATAACATCCTTCGCCATGAATTACATGACAGTAACCTGACGTATATAAAAATATGAAGCATAAAAATATTGTGTAATCGTGATGGTGATTTCTGACATTCTATATATTTCTCAAAAAAAAAAAAAATTTAAATCAACTTTCTCACTATGTGCTTATTGCAAAGTAACAGATGGCAAAATTGATTGCTTCAACTGTACAGTAAAATCGTGTCAATCACCAGCAAATTTACACATACTGCTAAGTATCATTCAAAAGCTCCATTAAATGATATAAGTATGTTGTGATGGCAACATTTTTATATGTTATTATATTCTGACTCGCCAAAAGGCAACATGTAAACTTGTGACTTCCATCCGACTGCGTTTAACCGCAATCCGCATCATAATCAACAATTAAGTGTGCAAGTATTTTGCCGCCATATTAACAGTGTATATCGGCAAACTGTTACTAGAAAAAAATGATCACATACTCTTTCCAAATTTCATTAAAGGCATAATTTCCGCTTTCAATTCCATCATCTCTTCAGCAAATATAGCTGTTATGTTTGCAGCAGTTTTAAGTTGGTTGGCATATAATCTTGATTCCACATTAATGATCTCGGTCCGTAATTTCCCAATGGCTGAGTTTAAAACAACGCAACGTAACATAATGCACTAGTTACTAGTAAATCAATGTTGCGAAACATGATCTTTTGAAGGATAGTGATAACAATTATCAAAATATACAAACGCAAACGCGTTTAAATGCAAATAAAAGAAAGGACTAAGAAGCTGTTTAATTATGCGACACAACACGACGTCAAGTTCCGTATGATTTCAGGCCATTATGAGAATTGAGGGTTCAAATGCCGATCATTCGACCACTGCTTAAATAGAAAAAGCTATGCGCTCGTGGGCCATAATCGAAAAAGAAATGTTTCGTATTGTGCAAAAATTTACCCTTTGTTATCTTTTCGTCTATTATCAGCATCATTTCGTTCTTGTTCGGTACTGGTAGATGGTAATTTGTTGTAGTATTGAGACCGGCACCACTCTGTAGAGATTCGACACTATCCACTTCCATGCATATTTTCTGTTTTGCACATGCCGGACTGTTAACGAATAGACATCCAAGAATGTAAAGTGATATAGAATAAAAACTCGTAGTCATCATTCGAGTGAGGTTTCGACAATTACAAAATATAGCCCATTTCTTTACAGAAATTATCTATATATATATATATATATAACTGTGACGATGTGATTTTTTTTCTATAATAGATGTTTAAAGGGTAACCCATCCATTCACGTAAATTCAAAACGATGATCGCTGCGATCGTGTGTGCTTGTAAGTTTGCTGAAATATGTGTATATATTACTTCATGATACCATAGTTCATAATGTGGTACTTTCCGTTTCTGCCTTAGGCAAGATATTATTGCCTCAAATTATATATTGTTTAATGGCACATTCGGCTATATGTAGTTCAATTCGGATTTCTCACTTTCGGGTATTTCCAGCAATTTTGTTTTAAATGGACTAGCCAGAATATATTTATAATGCTCATTAATTACACATTAAAGTTTTCTGGTCAGGAGAATATTAACGTTATATCATATTAGCATTAGGTATTTGGGAATCGGATCGATTGCACTACTAACTTGTCAAAGCCCACAAAACAATATCACTAGTCTTTATATATATTGATACAAGAACACTGACCGTTGTCTTCTTGGTCGATTACCTAATACTGATTACCCAATGCACATGACAAACAAGGCCGCTCAGCTGGGATGTTATACGTACATGGCTCTAAAACAGCGTTTCCCAACCTTTATTGGTCGCGGACTATTTTCTCACCGGCGAAAACCGTTGCAGACTCAAAGTGCGTTTATTGCAACTGTACTTTGTGTGAAGAAGTAATGAAATCAAACACAACAGAATTTTAACGAATTTTAAAATCGGAAATTTGCTGCAATTACGCGTTCGTTATAAGAGCCTACTTTTGAATCTGCTTTGAAACGAGGACTAACTTCAAACGCCCGCATTGGAAGACGTGCTTTCACTTGGATCTACTTCAATCTATGACAAAATAATCAATTACCGTCGGTACGATATGTTAGCAGGCCTATTGAATAGTTTCGAAACAGCGTATTTGTCAGTTAATTCAACTGTTCCAATAGTTACATCCTTAATACATGGTTATGTAAATAACAAAGCGATGTTGGATTTTTGCTTTTTAGCAGCCTTCCAGTTTTTTTTCTGCGAGAAAACAGATAACTTGCGAGAACAACTTCTTTTACGGGAATGTAGTTTTACGAGGTACGTTAAACAAAGTGGTGTAATATTTTGGAATCAACAAAGTCTAAATGGTAGACAAAGAGCTCTAGTGACATCACTAAGTTCGAAACTATATGGGCCGAAGACATGCTGAAAAACATATACACGAATGCCAAAGCGAAGTAGTGTTAAATCTTTACAGTACCGGTAGTCTGACCATCAGATCACTGAGATGTGATCTCGCAACCAGGGTACTGACAGCCAGACTGTCCTCGCTCTCGCTTCCCGAATTTCTGTCACGGTGATGATCATGTGTTCAGTGAATCGACATACCAAATAATTCGAGTCACAACTGTAGTATCAAATCATTTACAGTATCTTAAGCTTATCAAAAACTACCGTCTTCGCTGACCAAGAGATCGGTGACACGCAAAGGGGAATGTTACAAGTAATATTCACGAAATCATCGCACAAAACTTCGAAGTGAGAAACGAATCTCGGCCTACAGATGCTTTTAAATGAATAAAAGTAATAGCATTCTTGCAACAACCACAATTTTCAACCAATGAGAATTTAAAATCAATAAAATCATGACTACCACCAACAACCACATCATACCAAACTATTCATAGATCCTCTTTATGTCCAATAAGTTGAATAAGGAACAGTCCTTTTTAAACAATATTGCAATATCTTTTTAATTTACTTCAACTTGCCTTTCATATTAATGGGAATAAATCACGGCATCACGGAATTTACAAGTGGATCGTAATAAGCTGTTTTGCTCAAAAGAATGGTTTTTCAATAAGACGACAAAAGGTGTAAAAGTTTTATAAGCAATTTAAAAATAAGTAGATATATTTGTAGATAAGTAGTCATTATTATTTTACAACATCACTCTCCGACGAAAAGTTGGGATATGCCACTACACGTTTGTTCCATATATTAAAGCAATGTTTCCTATCAGTTGCGACCCGAAATTTAATTTTTTAGTAAATTTTATTTTAATATTTGGTATTGAAATGTTGCTTAATAGTACATGTTTATGTGGGAAGCATCACAGCAGCGTAAAAACTTGGCATCTATTTTGCCAAGTTAAGCCACGCCACGTTTTGGAAAACTCACCAATGTTTTGTTTTGTTGCGATATGGAAGAATACAGTAAATTACTGGTAAATTGTAAAAATATTCTTGCGCAATTTATCAAAAAAAAAAATTCTAAATTTGAAACATGAAACTAAAGTTTCACATTTTATTTCTCGCACGCCATAATGTGATTGACATAAATCAGACGTGATTTACGTATGGGCAAGGCTCAAGATATTTTATACACGTCTGCTAATGCCATGATGTAATGAACATAACATAAATTAGTCAGAATTTTCTCAAATCCTTTTTCTTATACTTCGCCGGAGGCGTGGCAATTCGGTGAAAGTTTATATTTGGGTTTCCCACCGTTGTTTGTTGTATTGTGTAAAAAAATTTATAAAAAAGAATTTAAAATTTACCTCATTGAACACTCTTTTTCTTTCACTCCAGGTAAGTAAGTAATAAAGTCGTGCACACTCAAAAAATGGCCTGTCTATTAAGTACTGTAAGGTATGGGATTTGGCAGAAACATAGAAAGGATGAGGTTCATAGTCATTTCTGTTTGAGTTACATCGTTGTTTGATAAAACTTCTAGTTTTATTTTATTGATCTGTATTAAAAGTAAAAAGTTGTATGAGAGGATGATTGTGTTATACAATTAATTACAAAGGATTAAAATTGAAAGAAGCCTACTCATATATATATATACAATTCTTAAGTCTTTTCAGTTTATGGAGTATCGAGACCGAAGACGACTTATTGGAAAGAGCATTTTGCTATACGGAAGGTAGCATTCTTGGAATTTTAATTATCGACTTGGTTGGCGAGAAATTGTGAAAGAAACTAGAAATTTCATAAAGATCGGCGCGTTTTTCGTTGTTACCATGGAAACGAAACTTCAATCCGCACTTTCTATAAAACGCACATTACTAGGGTGATAGGATAATCCACGTGAAAAACTTCATCCAGATTGTTCCACCTGTTAAGACACTAAATCTAAACAGACAGACAGATACACAGACAGACAGACAGACAGATTGATGACGATTGATGATAAGGGTCTTATAGAGCGGAGACCCAATATACATAAACTTATATTTGCACCCGCCTGGCCTATACCAAAATCGTGAAACCATTTCTAAATATCCAAATGAGAAACGCGAACTTGAACTTTTATTTATTTAGAAGCCTGTGATAAATACAAAACTCTGAATTTTTTTTATTGAATTGTTGAATAACAATGAATAATAGACTACAATGAAATCATGCTGTCTCAAGATCCGAATGGGACCCGCGTTTTAAAAACCCATGATACAGACCAAAAACGTTTTGCAGAATCTATAGAAGTAAACCATAATAAAAAATTGAAAAAAATAACTGTACCTGGCAAATCGCGAATTGATTATCAGAACAAAACGATGCAATCGTGGATCGAAACAATAGAAATCGCTCAAAGTATGAATCGGAATTGGGGCGACTGAATTCTTCTGTACTGTCTGAAGAAGTTATTACTTATAGATTTTAATCAGTAAGTATGTTGATAGGTATTTGTCTGTCTGTATGTCTGTTAGATGCACGCGATATCTCACGAAAGCGAGATTAAATCTCCTCCAAATTTTGCATTTGCATTCATCTGATCTCGGACCAGAAGCCTATTGATTTTGGGCAAATTATGTCGTATAATTAGCGAGTTATCAATTAATTAGTGATGGGACACAAGGTGTCACTATGGAGTAGGAGCGCTGTTTTGAGGGATCCCCTAACTTTCGATCGATAAGTCTTCGGTCTTTGACCGATATTTTCGTTTACTGTTTTAAACATTTTATGTCTTCAATATTCTAATGAAGTCAAATTGATGCATATCATAATTGTGTTTATTTTGTTATCTATATTTATCTGATATTTTAAGCCAGATTGGAGCGAATTCCCAGTATCAGGTTAAGCCAATAAATATTCCAATTTATGAAAATAAACATATTAGAATAAAAACTTTAAAATTACATTTGAACTGAAACAGTTTTGCAATACTATATTGAATAACTTTAGCCTCACGGCAGTCTTTCACGTCAATGAAAGAGAATGTCAAACAGTGACAAATCAACTACCGTACATTAATACGCTCTCTATAGTTGTTGCTGTTGTGGTTTTAATTGAAATTGAATTTTCACAAATTCGTCAAATCAATGTTTTAGGCTTGCTTTTTACGCTGGCACAGATTCTAAAATATTCAGATTTATTAAATTTAATATTTTAAAGTCAAAGTGAACAAAATTAAACAATTCGAACAAATAATATATATAACTTTAAATTTGTGAAATTATTTTCCTATAAAAGTTATGATTGCAAATCACGTTGTACAAAATGTCTACCGCTCCTGTTAAGCAACGCTAATGTTTAGTACGCTATATTTGGAATATCATTGCTAAATAGGTAAATGCGGTATTCTACATCATTTAGCAATGACACTTTTGTTTAAGCGATATCCATCAACAATGCATAATATAGAAAAAATTGAATGAATTTGTTCGACGAATCAATGGAGGTATTTTTCTCAATATATTGTTGCTTGAAAGATTTATTTTGGACTGTGGAAAGTACCAAAAATGAAAAAATATTTTCGAGTTATTGGGAAATACAACTGTCTCACTTTTAGTCGTGACTTAGTTATTGTACTTTGACAAGTCCGATTATGTTTCAAACACATAATAAATTTACTAGTGGTAATTGTTGTTTTATTACTAACATTTTAGTGTGCGAATGTGACCGTTCAAAAACTATCTATCCACTAACTACGCAATTCAGACTTTTCGTATTTTTCAATTTTTCAATATTACTCAAAATTACACATTTTTAAGAAGAGGAAGCCATATTAAACTATCTTAATTTATTTAACTTTTGAGTCTGAAGTCCCGGATGTAAATTTGAGAGATCAGACTGGCCCACAAATGTCTATTCTGGGTAGAGTACATGAAACGGTAACATGCTGAATATGTTATTTGCAAAATCTAGTTTTGAACAGATTCATAAACTGGAAAAATACCAAATTTTTCACTCTACACTTTGTTTACATTATTCGTTTATTGTAAAACATATTGGAAAATATGAAAAATTCGCCGCGTTTGAACAGTTTCAAAATTCACTTGATTCTGATTGTAAGTGATTCGACACTCCTCCCACATTCAGTAAGTTTTTCTCGATTTTTTGAACGTGTACTTAACGTAAAACGAATTTTATGTTCTTAGCCCGCAAAAGCGCTTTGTTGAAGATCAAAACTCGCGATTTTGGCTTGACGAAATGGAAGAGTATCGCCTCAGGGACATGAGAAATATCACGAGTTTCTGAATTTAGCAGTGGTATCTCAATTGACGTCGACGACAAAAAACGTCGTTTTAAGATTTTTCACATCAAAATCAAATAATTTTTGTCTTGTGTAGACTCTTGAGTGACATGTTTACGACTGTCTTTATATGGGTAATTTGGAAAGTGTCGAAATAGCGTTATTTAGAAGGGGGATTCAGTTACCTTATTCATATTTTAGCCAACATTACTTATAAAAAACATATATATATATATATATATGTATATTATCAGACAGCTGTCAGTCAAGCGATTATCCCAGAATAATATATTCAGCCATCTACATTAGTTCAATGTAGGATGTGTTTGTGTGTTATGCATAGATTCTATTGTCGTAAAGAGATAGAAACATCTTGAATAAAATAACCATATCGACAACATCACCTATGATGTAGTAAATTAGGAAAACTTGGATAGGTTTCGATTCTTTTAAACACAATAATTCTCAACCTAACATTCAAAACCTTGTTCGCGCATTCGAGAGAAATAATTTTCGTAGACAAATCAGGAAAGGAATTATCGACCTAAACGTAAACAGCGACAAAAAGGTAATTGATTCGGTAAACATTTTGGTATTTCGAGTAAATTACAGTGACATTGAAACCATAGGTAGAGGGGGTTAGTAAGCTTTTGAAGATTTTGATTTGGTATTCTGTTTGAAACACTATTTTCATAATTTAACAACGAGATTAATCATAACTTATTTGTATTTTTCTTCCAGTTTAATTGCGAGTAATAATTTGTCAGAGACAAAAAGCAAGTGGGAAACTTATTGGACAGAACAGTGGTAAGAACTATTTTACATCTATATATAAAAATGTACGTCAAAATATTCAAGTACAATATAATTATGAAAATAATCATATAACGGATAAATCCAATCAATAAAGTAACGGAAGTCATGTAAAACCGCGTTGAAGGTATGAACGATTTATATAATGATTGATATAAAATTAAGCAAATATGCCAAATCAAAAAAGATCCATATATTCGCACAATGAATGCCAAATTGCGTCAATATCGGAAACAACCTCCGTGTCACTGCCCATTTATGTTCAACAATTTTAAAAACTAAAATTTTCTATTGATTATACATGTGAAAGTTACTACGTTTAATAATATATTGGCCAGTTATTTTTATTGTTATATATTTTTAAATTTCGATTGTATTATTGTTAATTTCAAATGAACTTATATGGTCATTAAAATCATGATGTATAATATTTAAAATAAGTGGTGAATTTTTTTGTAAATAAATATTCTAAGGTAATGTCCAAGTCTATATATATTAAATATGTTAGCATGGTTTTTAATATCTAAACGACAAGCTTTGCAATCTTCATAATTTATATCATTTTTAAAAAACTATTTTTTAATTGTATTTCTGAATACCCAATTAAACTAGCAAGAACTAGATAAATCTTAATCGGAAAAGTACAAATGTATAATATATACAATTACATGGCATACGCTATTTTGAAAAATCAATCATTTGGACACTCCGTCGAAAATTTTGATTCTGTTACCGAAAAAAAGGTTTCAAGCCAATGTCGAAAATTGAAATACAGCTGCACGGAAATACCTCAGTGCAATATTGATTGAAACGCTATAGTAAAGTACAGGAAGCGTTACATTTTAAAATTTAAACCCGTATTAGTGGACACAGATTCGCAATGAAGTTTTTATAAATTTTGTTATAAAGAGGTGATCGCAGAATGTTAATAGGTATTAGATAAGGGAATGCAGCGGTTTCCATATTTGCCTTTCATTCGAGTTGTTAACAAAAGAGTGTAATAAGAGCAATGAAAAAAACAAGCACATTATTTAAAATGTGATCCACTAAAAATAGTATCATGCGGTGTCTTCATTTCCCAATACTTCCTTTCGGATAAACATGAAATTTCACTTATTATCTACGCTTGGAAACATAAAGATAGTGATGTTGAACAAATGCTATGTCAATTCTTTTTTCATCCAAAATTTTGTTTTACATCTGTTACTACAAAGCATTTGTTTAAATTTCGAAAAATATAGCGTTAGCAAAAACACCTACAAATTTTGATCATTTTTCCCATTTAAACTTGATCCATATTAACATACTCAAAAATATGATAAATTTGAGATTAAATTTATTTATCGTTTTGCCGCAGTTCAAAAGAATCATACAAGTTCAGTTTACAAAAATTGGATTATATTTTTAAACGAATGATAGATCAGCAGATTTAATCCGGAATAAGTTTACTAAATGCCAGCATGTCTGTCGAATTGAAAATGTCAAATTTTTAGCGTCACAGAGAATTCTGCGAAAGCAGCGGTCAATCAATGCCTAGCCAATAGTGCGTTTGGTATATGCTTCGATACGTTGCCAGTTATTATCTAATATAACTAACATATCTTGTATGATTTCATAACTCATTTTCAGTTGTAGATATGAAGACGTCTGTTGTATCGGCGTGTTTTACTGTGCTTCTTGCACTTGTTTCAGCATCGGACGATCAGGTGACTACTATGATTTCGTTTCTTCTTAGGAATTTCACAATCTATTCTTACTAGATTGGTTTTTGAACTTTGGCATATATTCAGACAGCATTGTGCATGTAATGCAGAACTGAAGTAATATGTCAATGTACGATGGGTAGTATTTGATGACGATGTTGAAACAACGATTTTTAAATTTTTTTAAATTTGATGAATAAACTTACTAGCTTTATTTGTATATGCACTTTGTCGTGAAATACGTAACATGTTCGGTCTACGATAAGTCTGATTCTGATTAGTAATGGTTCAGTTGCAGTTGTTAGTTAGAGTTTGTAATATGAAAGTCATTTTTTTTTTGCAAAAATCTTTTAATAACTTAGGTTTAAATCGATTTTCTGTACCAGGTTAAACAGGGTAAATTTATTGGAGAAAATTTTGATGATTACGAAAATACAGAATACGATTACGAAGGTTCAAATGTAGATTCTGAAAACATAACAGCAAGATTCGAAGAATTATCTGGGAATGCCGATGGAGTTGAGGTATTAATCGTTAGGTAGATTTTGATCAAAGAAAACGGTTTTTAATGCATAAAATTCTGCAAATATAAAAATTAATAAAAGTGTATACTACTTAATAAGTATTAGGTAAGGGTCACATTGCACCGCCATTTACTCACACCTTAAAATAGTATTTTAATGTTTCATTTTATCGAGACGTGATATGTTCGTAAAGTTCCATTCCAATTTTCATCAAAATCGAAAATATGTACACGAGGCAGTATATATAATATAGAGCGCGATGTCAAATCTTACTTTTTCTTTTTTATAGATATTTATGAAAGCGCTAGAATTGGCGGTTATGGAAGGCGAGGAAACCGTGAAAATACCGATAGAGATTGATCCAGAAGAACACAATATTTCACTTCAAGTATATAACATTCATTCTCATATTCAAAATACGTTGTTTTGGAATACGTTTTTGAAAATATATTTTATCAAACGTTTCTTCATTCGATTTGAAAGAGTTCTGGCGCAAAGCCCATTTATGCATTCGAACAAAAGGAATCTTTCTGGTTTGGAGTATTCTTCCATATTTTCTAGTATCCGAAATGAAGTTAGGTCTCACAACTAAGAAATCAGTCTGGCAATCGAAGTGGTTGTGATGGTCCTAATGGTGTTTGCTGTTGCAATCGGTTGAGGTGTACAGCACAGTTTTACAAAACATTGTATATTACTAACAACTAAAAATTTACAATCAAACTAGTATTTCCATTTATATAATTTTAGGATGCTCTTGACCGTTCAGAGCAATTTGTGACTGAACAATTGGATGAAGCCCAGAATCTAATCTCAAAACTCGGAAGCAAAATTGATGAAATGCAAATGAAGCATAAAGATGAAGGAATCTACACTGACGATACAGAATCAGCAGATTCTAATCAAAGGTGGGATTCTAGAATATAAAACGTAATATTATAAGCTTTGTATTATCTTTCTACCTACATGTCCAATAATAAACCTCAAAATAGGAAACAGCATATGTTAATTTTAGCCGAATTACTTTTATCGATTCATTATATCAATATCTTCGTATTTTATTTTTTAGAAATTCTGACGTGGAAATCCTGAATACACAGAAAAATGAAATTTTGGAAATCATCGAAGGTTTGACTGATGCGTTAGAAGATTTAAAAGAATTTCGAGGTAGTTTAGCTGTTGAGGATCTTTACAGTTACTATTATGATGAAGATCTTACCGAGGAATTTGACGAGGAGAACGATGACAGTTCCTGGAATTCAGAGGATTCTTCTGACTCAGATTTGGGCAAAAACGGCGTAATCTTGGTTGAAGAAAATAGTACCATGTCATCGACGGAATATGATAATTTGCCTGAGGTCAGTGATGGATTTGATACATCGGAAGATGGCGAAGAAAACAACACACTGTCACAAATCGAAGAAGCTGAAATTGAGAAATATACTGAAATTGGTGAAATTGAAGAGTCAGACTCATCAGCAACGCCCAGCGCAAGCAACATTGTTTTAACGGAAGAGTTGAATAACACTATTGTCTTGTCCGATGGAGTCGGAGATAGTATTTCATTGTCTGAAAGCGTTGGGTTATCGGTTGATAGCAATGGGAACGCTGATTTAATGGCTGACGACGATGAAACATTGTCGTTGTCTACTTCTCCAGACGCATCAGAAAATAATGAATTGAGAGTTGCTGACTTAGATGATCCATGGAACGGCCCAGTCGACGAGGCAGATAGTACAATTTCATCAATCGCCTCTTCGGACACAATGGATTGGATCAATTATGAAAACGATGAAAAATTGAATTCATGGGTTTTCTCTACTGAGAACACATTGACAGGTAGTACAATTTCATCAATCGCCTCTTCGGACACAATGGATTGGATCAATTATGAAAACGATGAAAAATTAAATTCATGGGTTTTCTCTACTGAGAACACATTGACAGGTAGTACAATTTCATCAATCGCCTCTTCGGACACAATGGATTGGATCAATTATGAAAACGATGAAAAATTGAATTCATGGGTTTTCTCTACTGAGAACACATTGACAACCGAAAACTGGAATGACTATAATGAATACGAAGATGAAAGAGGTATTAACTATGATGAGAACACCGACATTGACGATTACTCGTCATCAACGATTGCTGCAGGAATAATTTCACCAATTTTCATTATTCTTTTATCAATTTGTGCATGCGCACGTTATAGGCGGGTCAATACGTATCGACATCTTGTTATTCGTGCTACACCGGTACCTTCTCAAAAGAAAATAAGCATCAACAAACCCAAATCATACCAATCCGTTGTTACCGTGTGTGAAATTGCTCTAAAATGCAATATGGCAAGAGGTTCGCCAACTCCACCTGCCACAAAACTACCATCGTACTTGAATGTCGTTTCTAACGAGATTGAAGCACCTCCGAAATACGTTGAAATAAAACGTGATGCTAAAAATAACATGAAATTTTAAACTTTCCAAGCATAATAAAGAAATTTGAAGTCTCATCGAAAACGTTAACATTCAGACCGGGTGTCTAAAAACATTTCAATATTTTATTCGATTCGTAGCACGATGTTTAGCTATCTAAGAAATCACCAACAAAGTTTGGTTAAAAGAAAATAGGAAGTGCCTTTACCTAAAATCCGTTTATTGACAGTTTTCAAAATATTACGAAGAACTTATTTTTAAGGCATTGAAATCTGGTGAATTTTAATATTATTTCTTGCTAATCACTTCTATATAAATTTTGATCAACGGGGCAATATGTGTTAACGCAATAAACAACAAAATTTACTGTGATAAAGTACAAGATTAAAATTGAATATTACTGCGTGATGAAAATAAAATGTAGTGTTGAACATGTTTGATTCTCATGTCTTGTCTATTTCGGAAAATAAAATAAAATTATTGTTATTGTGCGTGTCTTATGGTTTGATGATTGTTTTTATCAAATTACAAGTCGTTGATGTTGACGTCGTTTCAAGTCGAAATGCCTTATCTACGTACTTGCATCTTAATGTTAATTCATTGCTCAATCGTCATTCTGCAATTGAACCCCCTATCGCCAAAAAACTCAATCAGATCTCGCACGGCAATTTTTTTTCAACAAGCAATTAATCACATTCACCTATGGCTCCTAAAGAGCAAAAATAATTGCGATATTGTGTCAAAAAAGCTGTTGAACAAAGAACACATATTACACCACACTGTAAAAGTGTTGATTACCAATGGTTAATCGTGTTGCGCAATCTGTGACGTCAGTCTCGTTTCTTTTTAGCCACACCTCGTATACTTTGTAAATAATACCTAGCCATCATTAATAAAATAAGCCTTGCTTTTCGCTTCACTGTATATTTTTTCTAGATTCTAGAACACGACTGTATAACATATAAGTATAAAAAATATTTGTGAATCGTAATTAGCTAACCAATGGGCTATGGGGGGGAACAAATGAGTACTGAATATGTAGATAACTACACATACGCATACAAAATTGCATGAATTGTTCATCATTTATTTAGGATTTATTCGAATCATAAAATTCTGACCTAAGGCCAGCCTAATTTTCAGTCGCAAATGTTGAAAATTTTTCAAATAACCTTGCACAGTATCCATGTATATATTATCCAAACAGCAGAAAATAAATATTCTCAGACCATGAATGTTACATGATTGCTCAAACTTCATTATCTAATTTACTATTTCTTGTTCGCCCGATTCTTTTCCAGCTTGGAATTTGAAAAAATGGGCATTCTGACGCCACTGCTACCGCTGCGAATAAAAATGATCACAGTACTCTTGGAGTGAGACAATAACTCTCGCATACTGCAGAAGTTGTTCGAGGGTCGTCCGTCGGTCAAGCCAAAGGGGTCCGCAAATTTGAGTCGCGAAACCCTCCACTCTGGGTCGCGCAACAATTAAATTTTCCATAAATATAAGCATCGTGTCAGTGTATCGTATTTATGTACTACAATTTGTAAACCTCTAATTTTACTTATCGATGTTCAACATCTATATTCACTGCCGTAACATTGGCCAATCGGCATAAGTGCAAAATTGAACGTAACAATAAACGTTTTAGAAGCAGCTCAGACACTTTTGCGTCACTCGTTACCTCGTTTTCGAGTGCTATTGGTTAGTTTTTAGTTGTGTTTTGGTGTCTCCGTAGGAGATTTATTTCAATTGCAGTAATCAAAAATTATTCTAGGAATAGATCTGATAGACTAGGCTAAACTTTTCTACCGATACATTTAAATGAAAGGTTGTTGAAAGTTTTGAATAAAAATAATGGGTTGAAACCTGTGGTGGGATTCAGCCGGTTCGCACCGGTTCTTTAGCACCGTCTCACGGAATTCTATGAGATCCGCGAACCTGTTAGCATTACTGGTTACTGTCAATAGATTTTTGCATCTTATTTGACGATTTTTGAGATCAAGTATCTCACGTGTTTTTTTTTTCAGCATGTGAAATGATCAAGTTCGCACGTAACAGTTATACATTGCGTTAATTTTTTATAATTGTAGTAATTTTCCTTTTGTGATTGTTTGTCGGGAAATTGAATTGTTGCGTCATTAGTACAAGTCATGACACGACTGGTGCATTTTAGTTTGACTGTTAGCAGTAAAAGACAGATAAAGAAATTGATAACTATCAGGTCGCCATTTGGAAATATGTAAAAACTGCAAAATTTTTTTTAATTTCAGTAATTTCAGTTTAATTTCAGTAAACTTTTTTTTTTCTTTGATAAAGATTTCTTGTGTTTTTTTTTTTTATAGAATAACAGCATTTTTATAGAGAATATCAACATTCAAGCATTTGTTTTCAGTAGGTCATACACCTTTAGATTTTTAAGTTTATTATCAACGAGTATATAATACAGCAATATAGACAATCCTCAATATCATCAAAAATTTCGATGTTAATTTTGACATAATGATGCTTACTTAACCATTCCGCCATTGAAAGTCTGGGAAACAATCTTTACGTAGTTGTTTGCATTGTTATTATCTCACTACGTAGTAAATTGCATTGTTTCGTAGCAATACCAGGTTAGCAGTAGCGTTGTGGAATTGTTTAAAAAGACAGTAAACGAGATTTTATGTGCTAAGTTTCATATAATCTTGTGCAAGAAAATTGCTAATGTCAATAATAGTCTTAAAATCGATAACTAATTACATGCTTACCAAATGCTTGGGTCGCAAGAAATCATAACAAAAAAATTGGGGTCGCGCCACAAACTAGTTGCGGGCCCCTGCGTCAAGGAACACGACATTCGAGCAAAAGTTCATGTTCATGCAAGCAAAAGTTCATGTACAAGTAAAGGTTTTTGCGTAGTAGGGGAGAAATTAGGAGCTCAAAATAGGCCAAGAAAGGGATGTTTAAATCGGTTGGGAACCAGTGATATACACAATAAACTCCTGAATAAACGTGGAAAAAACAAACGAATACAAAAGCATATTCTATGGTAATGCTATGTAGAATAGTTTCTTGGTGTAAAACTACTTTAGACTTACGATATCCAGTGGGCGGCAAGCAGAAATTGGAAGGAAGCCTACTGCTTAGAGATTAACGAATACCCAGATTAGTGTGACTTTGAAAGAAGTCGAATTGTGTCATTAAATGGGTTATATCAAACATTTGTACCGGTAGATGACATTTTAACTTCTATTGGTAATTTGATTTTCAACGTTCAATTGTGTGAATTATCTTCGTTAATTTCCAGAACCTGATTATGTGTACAAAAGAATAATATTATCATAATCGGGTTGGCTTGACTTGGTGTTAAAAGCGCAATTACCCCGAGGGGATGCAATCTGGTTCGCCTCGTTCGACATGTCTCTTTCAAGCGTATCATATTAATATTTGCTGCTATAGTGTGTGAACATGTGTTCTAAAGTATTGCTGTATAGAATTGTGCATTTCGTACAAAAGAATTACATTTTACCGATTGTGACAGTGGGTTTTGCAACAGGTATTTTATTGATGTCATATGATAGTGGGTATTTCAATAATAAAGTTGCAAAACCCCCAGCTAAGTTAAAACTGCGAGAGGAATTATCTAGCATTGAATTAAAAATTCTACAGCAGACGACAGAAAAGATAAGTTCACTAATCACTACAACTACAAAGCAAACGACAACAACACAAATCCCTTGGTATGACCCAACACGGTTACTCGAAGATACGGAAAAACAGCTCGCAGGATGGAAAGCTCCTAAAGGAAAAATAGAGAAATACATCAGGAAAATAAAACTTAGCAGTACGGTCCCTCCAATCACAACTGTGAACCTGGGACAAGTTTTCACTATTACCGACAGATGGAAAGGTAATAAATTTATTTGTAACAATATATGCACGTAATTTTACTTGATAGTAAACGAGCGTTTAGTTGGTACTTTTTATAAAGCCATAGCCAAAATTATTGTAGATAGCATGCACTACCACTACCACGACGTAAAAAACTTAGTAGATGACCTTGTTATGAATGCCATGCGTGAAACATTCGGATCCTCTCAACTAAAGAGTTGCGGGTCTCGGCCATACATTCGTTCAGATCGAAAAGCAAAATGAAATATAAAGTCTGTATGTCATCCTTATAACAGTATAAACTTACAAATTGTTATGAATGACTGAATACATGTTTGAAAATACCAATGAGGAGAAACGTTTTTAATCCTAAAATGTTTTGTATAATAGTACAAACAAATTTTCTCTTTTCTAGTTCAACATATTGGTTGCTTCAGGAAAGCTAGATTTGCCATACTCACAAGTCCAAATGTCACCACAAATTTTCACGGCGACATAGGAGATTGTTTAGAAAGATGTGGAAAATTGTAAGTTGAGTCAGTATAGTAAATTAAATGAAGCAATTGAGTTCACAGATGATACTTACTATAAATACGTACATAAACATGAACCAAGCTTATAAATCCAAATTGAATCTGCATTATTCTACAGTCATGCCCTGACTTCTTTATATGACTAGCTTCTTTCTCTTGTAAAATTTGTCAAAGATTTTCCTACTGACATTTGAGATAAATCGTCAATCTGACAAAAATTGACCAAGAAGATCACAATTAATACTAGTTGACCAAAAAACGGAACCTATGAATTCAGGTTTACACCTGAACTTCTGTTTGTGTATGATTCTACCCAAAAGTTTCAGAAATTATGGGCGTTTTGCACAAAAGTTATGTTCTCTCTGGAATATGTTCTAAATACCATCATCGGCGTTTGTACAAATCGGCGTTTGTAGACATGTATCCGTTGCTCAAAATTTCAATTACATTTCCGTCAAACAAATGAGAATGTATATATTCCCATTGGCCAAACACATGAAGTAAAACCATCGGCATCTTGCTACTAGATATAAAGATTGGGTGGCCTATGACGGAACAGGAAAGAGGTGTTCATGTGGAATTTCTCTCTACAAATCAATGCCAATTATGTTAATGGCGGATCATAGCATAACGTGTGGTGCTGGATTTGAAGATGTTTACAGAATTGTTAAGTACTCACCCAATGGTATGTTGATCTCAAATATGTATTTGTACGTTCTCAATAATTTTGTTACTATGTTGTATAAAGACACATCGTTATGGTGTTTTTTGGATAATAATCGATACAAAAAAGATATTGATCTCATACCGAAAAAATGAACCTATAATTCATATGTTTTCAAGTAATCAATACGTAAAAAATGGTTGTATATATATCTTAAAAATGAAACAGGATAATTAAATATACTTATTTTTTTTAAGCATTCATAACCATGGACACCATAAAACTAAGTGGCATTGGGTGCTTTCCCCGAAAAGAAAAAATGAATGAGATATTTGGCTCTTACATGGATACTGCCCTAACCATAGGGGAATGTCTACTACAGTGTGAAACTAATGCTTATCCAAGTGCAGCATGGACAAATCCAGGAATATGTCAGTGTGGACAATTCGACCAGAGGTATGTATGTTAGGCTTGCAATTTGATCAGTAATCAGTATTTTTATTTTTTCACCATCATCTAAATACACTTTGCACAAACAAAATAAAAATCAAACGTAAAAATGATATTACAGGGTGAACGGGGGCGCAGAAAACAATACTGGGTATCAAGCAGCGACACCTGTGGTTAAGTCTAACAGTTATCAGGGAGAGAATAAAAGTCAAATATTGAAAATAAAAAAAAGTTTACAGCAACAACAAGAAAAAAAAACATTCATTACATACAAAAATATGACTCCGGGCACCGTCCAGTTGGGTCACCATGGAAACGTATTTCCAAAATCAGATGAATTTGAACCAGGATGCAATACATCAATAAATATGGACTCTTTTACTGTACAAGGCATGCATTTTAATACCCTTGCCTGATAACTATTCCCAAATTGGTAACCAAACATTAGGACGTGCTGCTAATACGCTCCCGGAATAAAAATACGAGTACTACACTGAATTTCCCAGATTTGCCTAACACATAACAGAACCCAACCGCGTTCTTTATTTAATTTTCTAAAAATAACTCTTTCACATCCTATGTTGATCAAGTACTTTTCCTGGAAACAGGCTCACACTTCGCGAAATGGGACCTTCTGTAAACGATGCTTTGTGCGACGAAGCAGAATGCCATGGCGGAGCACCGTGTGAATATGTGAGAATTATGCGAACAAATGCAGAAGACAAAAGGTGCGATGTCAGAAATTTCTTGCCTCCAACAGTCGGACGATTAGTGTCGCTAATGAGTTTCCCTGGATCAGGCAACACCTGGGTGAGATATCTGATCGAAGAGGCAACAGGAATATTCACAGGAAGCGTTTATTCGGATGTAGATTTATACCAACATGGTGTGATGACAGATTTGTATTAATTTTATTCATTATTTCATTGGTGATTTATGATTATATACGTGATTAGAGGCTTTGTTCAGCCTAGTCTCGCGTCTTAATTTATACCTAAGCTGGATAACATAGAGCAAGCCAAACTGTTACACTTCAGAGGTGTTAAAACCATACCCACAAGTGACAGACTGTTTACAGCTTTTTTGAGCAAAAACTGCAACGAAACAGTTTTCATTAATTTTGCCTCGATGAGCATGGTGATCATTCTAGAATCTAGTTGGAATTTGCATATGCGATTATGGCAACTGTATTATTGAAATAATATTTTCATCTTCGAGTAATAATTTGGGAGCCCATTTTTAAGCTGGAAAATAAAACAAAATTCTAGTTTAATAATAAGAGAAATACCTATTTGCGATATGTTCACATGCAGGGTTCATCGGAGAAATTTTGCCATGGAATTCCAGACGCACATCAGTGATTAAAACACATTATATCGTTCCAAAAGAAGCCACAAAATTTGATGAAGCAATTTTAATTATACGTAGTCCATATGATGCTATAATGGCAGAATTCAATCGTTTTCGAGGAGGACATACTGGATACGCGGAAGAAGCTTTGTTTAAAACTCCAGGTTTGATAGATTTTCTTGCGCGAAAATAAAAAATATTTAAATAATAAAATCCTCGAACTGGACTGCTGTATGTTTGTCGCTTGATTTGTAAAGAATAAATAGTTTAATCATCAGCGTAAACGACACACGTTTTGCTATTAGGTTGTTATTTGTTTTTAATTTTCGTTTTCGCTATTCGTTTTTTACTGTAAATATTTGTGTGATAACGCTCTCAAAATCAAAAGTTCCGCACCTAGTGTCGGCTCCGCGTACTTGATCTCGTGGCCGGTCGAAGTCGGAAAGTCCACAGTAACGGTACTGTAATTTTGATACTCATACTATGTCGTGTCCATATATATACTTGATCATTGCTCTATTGTTTCAATTATACTAAAACATTGCAATAAATAGAAATCTAATCTAGAAAAAATATCTTTGTATAGATGTTAGCGAAATATTGCGATATGTCCATAAAATATTTCAACCCCGCTCCAGTAAAACTTGAAATTTAAAAAATGCAAAGGTTTTTCTTATTGTTTGATCTTTGTGAGATTACTGCAGCATCCTTATTAATCACAGCCATATGCTATTCTCCAGCTTAATGTCTCAATTCCGCATATTTCAGAATGGATTTACTTCATATCGTACAAAATGCCAAAATGGTTCAAGTCAATTGAATTGTACGCACAGATGGAAAAAGTTCAAGTGATATATTTTGAAGACATCGTCAAAGATCCTATCACTGAAGTTCGCAAGATTGTCAACTTTCTGAACTACCCTATAAACAACATCGAGGAGCGTTTAATTTGTCTTGAATCTAATTTAAGCGGAAATTTCAAGAGACCGAAAAGGACGTTGAGTTTCGATCCGTATCCTCAAAAGTCGAAAGATATTGTAAATTATTTCATAAAAACTGCTAGAGAAATATTAGCGAAACGAAATTTACCAACTTTGCCCTTATATGAAAAATGATATATATACGTTTATTGCTTTTAGACATGTTTAGATTGTTTTTCGCGTTATTTGTGTGTCATGCCGTTCAGAACTTAAACGGGTTATTGTGATTAGGGATGGAAATTTCGAATCGAATAGTAAATTATTCGAATCGGTTCAGAGCAAAATTTCGAATTGCCGCCATCTTGTTTTTTTTCTTTCCGCCAATGATCGAGGTGGATTCCCCAATATTTTTTTCATTGGAGCCATATTTTTTCAACGCAATTCTGACATATGACTATTTTATGTAGTGAGTTATTAATAAAACGTGTTTTTTATTGTGTGTGAACGCTCAGTAATCTATCTGAGTGACGTATTCTATGTCTTCAGTAATTCATTTGTTGAGAGGTCCAATTACAATAAAAAAGTCGCTTACAATTATATATTTTCAAGTATTCAAGATTCGATTCAAAAAAAATATTCGATTCGAGGTTGTTGAAATCACAAGATATTCGAAAATGGCCAGCTCTAATTGTGATATGCATTATATGGAATTTCAGGGTTGTTGATTTGTTTTTGGATGAAAATATGTCATTAAATCCCTGTATCCACCGTTCAAACATTTTTGTCACAAAATTTTATAAACAAATGGAACCAACACTGAAACATGATTTTTGCGACTATATTTGAAGATGTAATCTTAAAAGTGCGGCGATTTGTCAAAACATTCATTCTTGGTCATTTTATGTTAGAAAACTTATCGAATGCTGCCTCTACGACCACACTGTTTTACGATCTATTTTTATATTGTTTTATCGTCGCTGTTTAAATACAATACGCAACAAAGATTTTACACGTTTAATTAGACACTAGAAGTGACAGTAACAAGGAAGCCAGTCTCGACACGCAGGACTAGTGGAGAAACTTACCACGTACTCTACAGAAAGTTGGTGACATCCCAACGTGATCAAGATCAACTTCAAGCCTCAAACTCAAACGAGCCAAAACGAAGAATCATAGAAACCGGACACTAAGCTCTTGCTGTCCATACGAGGACTGCACTGATGTATGCTTGATTGATTCCTTTGTCAAAACAAAAGGCTCGTTGAAAATGTTCGGCATTTTGACATAATAATGTTTGCTCCTGGTTGGAACTAAAATCGCTTCAAAGAGTAATGTTATGGATGTTTCCCCGAGCATCGGTTTCCTTGTTTTTTTACGTAACAATTACAAATCAGCAATAAGTTAACAATGACGTAACAATTGGAATTTATGTCGCCGCTCAGACACTTCTTTCGCTCAGACAGATATTCAAGCGTATTGTAAACATTGCCTCTTTTTTGGTAGTTTTGCCTGTTATTAGTCACCCGAGGACCTTTGGTTTAGTTACAATATTCAAAAATTGATATCGCAAACGCTATACTAAATACTAGCCTAAAATTAGCTATCAGTACCAATAAGCGGCACGTGGTGTTTTGTTTCGGATAAAAATGATGGTTTTTAACATGTGAGCCAGTTTGTAAGCCGCAACACTCCAAATCAACATTTTTGCAATGATAAAGTATATATAGGGAAATTCGTTCAGGGGTCAAGAGTCGGGGAAACGTCCATTGTCTTGTTTTGAATTCTAAATTTTGTCCAACTTTGGAACGACAGAGGATTCAGCCTGTCTATTTATTTATCCAAGAGGCAAATCTCGATTTAACAACCCTCTTGCCGTCCTGTATCAACTAGATAACAGACGTGTTTTCACCCCACGCAAACCTTGAGCAGAGTAGGGTTATCCATGTATATTTTCACACATGTGTAAACTACAGCATTTTAGTTTTACTGGCTTGTCTGATTAACTTTCTACACAGACTACTACCATTTTATTGTTGGTTGCTTTACTACAGGCCATCCACTTTACACGACTTTGTCTTCAAGTTAGCGGCAGAGTTTACCAAGAAACGCAACACGTATTTCCAATGGCTATATAATCCACAGATGTCGCTGAAACTATTGCACTGATTTGACAGACCACAATTCCCAACACCGGGGCTATGTTGTCGGAGTTCGGTCTAGTTTTCTAGTATTGGGATACAAGTTTAATGGCGTGGTAATTGATTTCTTCGTTGATTGATAAGGGAATATAACGGGCCGTTTTCCTACTAAACAGCACAGTGATTTGCAGTTATACGTAACATGACATGCAATTTCAAACACAAAGCGACTCATATGTCTGTACGTTGTTGTGATACTTTATTTAAATAATAAAAAAGTAATTTTTTATATATTTTGAAAGCATTTTTGTGTGCCTCTATATAATTTTTGGACCCCATTCTTCAAGAATAGACGGAATAGTACGATTGCATCTTTGACTCCGAATATTTGGTATTTTTTTCGACATGAATTGTTTGAAAATCTGTGATGGTGCACCGATGTCTACAGTTATGTTTGTATATAATGGTTCTCGTTTTATTGACAAAACTCCGTACCTGATAAATTGAGAAAAACAATGTTATTTTTTTTACTTCGATAAACTTCAAAAGTAATAAAAAGACCAAATTTTCCGGATATTTTTTTTATAGTTATTTAAATTGAAGATACGTTTCCCGGTATTTCTTTGTCGTTTGTGTTCTGATCACAAGACGTATGTTCTGATGATATTCACATTTTTATCTCACAAATCAATTTTTTTAAATAATTTTCCAAAGTTTTTTTATATCATTAGAAGAAAATATATTACTAATATTTTACATACATATTAAAAAAAAAATTTCCACAGAATGCAATCAATGGTTGAATAATTTTAATTGTTAATTTTCCATACGAATGACGCAATTTTTTAAATGTATCGATGAACAATGTTGGAGGAATTATCTGAGGTAAATACTGAACAGATACTGACATTGCTTTAGGTTTATAGTTCTGGCTCAAGTATGAATAACTTACTTACTTTAAACTATTTAGTCCATCTTTACCCATTCGTGGAAGAGACTTGTAGTACAGGGCAAATCTTCCGTCTTGCTTCTCATTTGATTTTTCTCTTGTGTGTTTAATCATGTGGAAAACACATGACTTGTTATATAAATCTCTTTGAACCTCATACCCTGAAAAATACTTTCTGTTATAGCAGTGTTCTAGTTTTTAGTATACGGGTAGTGTTTTTTATCGTATCCAACCAACACTAAGCTTCAATAAATTGTAGGACAATTAGTGAAATCACACATAACGCTAGCTACTATAATTGCTATTTTACTTCAACGCCTTTTTTATATGGCTGAAATTCTAATGTGATGCAAAAAATATGGTCTGGGCTACATTTTCGGCATCTAAACGAATCGTCTTTTTTATACGACGCTCATTCATGTTTTTCGCTCCGAACAAGTCCCTGTAAAGCAGCCACTGATATCTAACGACATGTAAAAAGCTACTTATTATTCAGAAGGACCCAATTTTCGGGTTCGGTATCGCCTACCCAATTTATTAAAGCTTGGGTGAATTGGGGTCATAAGATATGAAACCGAGCTGTGTAATCTGCACGTCACATCACACACACACTTTCAAACAACAAGCCAAAAAAAACGGATCTAATGATATTATTTTCACAATTGAATCTAGTAGAAAGACACTCCAATTTGTAAATTCACACTCGTGAAACAGGCAACAATCTTTTTTATCATTTTAACCATTTAACATAATTATTAAGATGAGGCATCCAAGAAAACCTCCCTTTGAAGATCTCATTTTGTTCAGCACAGAAACGTGACAACAGTTTACGAATAGTGCAAAAAAAAGAAATTTCTCACGAAATATTCATTGTAATAACCTTAATAACGCAACAAAAGATTTACCTTTGCTCCATAAACGTACATACAGATCGTTATCTTCTGCGCCCCAACCCCAATATGCATTCGAGCATCCATTTATGTCATTGAGTTGTTTAGATGTTAACATAGAAACTCCTCCAAATAAATGTACACGCTCTCCCGTTTTCTTGACTTAAAAAAATATTTGTTTATATTAACATTTGAGTTTTAGAACTTAGGGTAGCTTAACTTTTTTCTGCTCACACCTTTGTTCCGGGATAATTTATAATAGAGAATGAGATTCATCCGAGCAAAAATAACACTTTCTTGGATATTAGAAAATTGTTCAGCGGATAAAGCCGTTTGGAAGATAAACTTGATTGGTAGTGCTTGTTTGGGAATATTCTTGACAACAACTTACTGAATAAAAACGTGGAAAAATAAGATTATGACATAAAATATTTCTGTGCATGAGAAGACAGAAAAGAGACGATTAATTAGAAGTCGGGAACTAGTTTTTAACTTTAAACTTTCTTTCAAAAGTTGAGAATACCATTGAAATGGAATTCAAAAAACTAAACAATGATATTGTGCCGAAAAAAAATCGCAAAGCTTACATGGTTCAGGGGCACATATGGAGCCATATGATACCGGCTTGAAATTGAACTTGTCAATGTAAATAGAAATCGATCGAGGATTATCTTCTTCCGGACACCAATAAAGACATCGATCGTCCATAAGGAGTAAATCAACGTCGTGAAAAACATAGCAGTCATACTTTCTTTCTGAAATTGACAAAACCAATTTCTCAAACATATCACTTTACGTCCAACATATTTATCATATGGGGCGATATCGATCAACCAACCAATATCGAGTTCAACCAATACGGTATAAACAAACAGATAGAAATAATCATATAATGTGATAATTGCAATAACTGGGTATCAAACGTTTTTATTTGTCTAGAATTGTATACCAATATTATTACCTTTACTCGCTTCTGAAAATCCAATATTCATAAGTTTGGCACGATTGAATAAGTTTTCTCCACTTTGCCATATTGTGTAAACTGTGTAGTCCAGTTGTTGGCGTTGCCATATAGGATGCATATGATTCAGCAAACTTCTGAGTTGCGTTTCCCTTCCACGCAAAGGTATTATAATTGCCACCTTATATTGCGCACGACAGTCTAATGGAGTGTATCGTCCTCCTGCTTCAAGTCGTAAATTATTTCTATATATTTCGTCCAAACTAGGTGGATTTATGTCCGATGCGTTATTGTAATTTAATCGTCCCAACAAGTTGGGTGGAGTTCGAGAACAAGTGTAACCAGTCACATTTGTTGTAACCTCCGAACCCTCATTTGTGGAGGATATTGTTTCATTCGTACTTGAAACGGAAGTTATGTTTCGAGTGAAATAATTTGAATTATAGTTTGTGAAAAAATTAATCCTTATACTTCCATTCGTTTTATATCCTTCAATGTACGATTTTACTGCCTGAGAGTTTGTAAAAAAAGTCCCGGACAGCATTAATAAGAGTGCTGCCAAGACAATTGCTGCGAATAGTAATTCCCGTTTTGTTAAGAGAAAATTTGCATTTTTCGTTTCTACTGGCTGCATACTGAGAGAAATAAATTTTATAATGAGATTGAAAAAGACTCTGCACTCTGCACTTTCATTCAAATAAACCTCCTATAATTTAATTTCTTCGATTTATTCTGGGCATTATTATATTTTATGAAAATGCTTTGCTCATGTGAAAGATATAAATTTAGAAAAAATCCACCAGAGTTGTTCGCTCAAATTGCTGTAGCCCATATTTGTTGATGTTTCAATCAATGAAAAAAAAAATCTCAATACGGAACAATTGCTTAAAAGCTATAGCTCTCAATCTATGTCAGTTCGTTTCTATATCCATATTCACAATGCTGATTATAACTGCTTACAGAACAGTTTTGCTTTACTGGTAAATTCTGCACAGTTATCTAATTATGTTATTAAATTCAATGTTTTTATCCCAATCAATACGCTGATTTCAAACCGTTCACACAACATTCAACTTTTAGCTTTCTTTGCTGGATTACGATACTCGAACAACTTCTATTCGATCGTTCGGTTCTATCTCATGCTGATTTAATTGATTGCCCGGGGCAAGCAGTATGTTGTAAATCGCAGATACATTGCTCGACACTTGATGTCAGAACTCCGCGACCGTTCAATATTGTTTACTTATTTGTTATCAGAGTGGGTAATTGGATGTGGTAATTAAATATCAATTAGCTATTTGAAAAATAGCTAAATTCAAATGCAATATCATATATTTATTAAAGCTATTCTTATTTTGCCCGTCCCTGGATCTTTTTCGTATGGTGGTCGTTAGCCATATTGGTCTCTACGACACTATATGTGGGTAATCACGTTTTCGCAACAGAAATACTGAAATCTTGACATGCATTTCGCTCTTCGTAAAATTTGATAATGTTTCTGAAATTGACTGCCAATGGTCCTGATGTAAACTTTAAAATAAATAATATATATAATCCCTTGGTATTGTTGAAATATTTACCAAAGTCGCCAAACCATACTTGAAATAGGCTGCGGAGTTGTTCGGCCTATTTTTTCGAGTCTCGGGGTCAATTTTTCAAATTCTTTGGACTCGTAATAAACGTTTTATCTCACGGAGTGACTTTTAAATTTCCGAAAAATCTGAATCGAAATTTCCAATTCAGTAATCAGTAATCAGTAATTTATTTCTTCACCAAGCTGAAAGTACGAATTTTACATACACAAATAAAGAAAATATAAAAGACCGCATTCCAGGGTGAAAGGAGACGCCGAAATTCCAATTCATAAAAAAAATTCGAAGTTTTTACCTAATCCCGATTGGAAAACATGGAGGAAATGATTTTTTTAATGGTATTGAACTTGATGAAAAAATTGATTCTTTTTATTACTCCACATCCTGGGTACTAACTCTAGGATTACGATTTTAGGTTACGTTAAACAGTCCGTGATTGCGGACACAAACTGTCTTTCCTGTTCGTGATTCCTCGCCTTTTTTGTTAAATTTTTCCCTTTGTTTATATTGTCATTCCTCATTCCTTCCCACCTATTCATATAACTACTTCATTTGTTCAATATGTAATAAATCATTTGCTATTATTATCACGCGCAAGTCGCATTCCTCTTCTTGTACAGTTTAAGTAGTTTGGTATGTTTTCGTGAATAAGTATTATAATAATATTAAAAAACTGAAAAATATTAGTGATACAACTACAGCGAATACGAAATAAAAAGTTCCTCCCTCAAAATTGCAAAATTTCTCTCCGGGGATGAATTCTTCACCAGTTGGGAAACGGTATAACAGAGGAAAAATAATCTTTCTTCCTATATTTATGTTCAAAAAATTGACAAACATTTTCATATATCTCTATAAAATATTCAAACTCAGTCCTCAAGAATATACGGAATAGTACGATTGCACTTCTCAGACCAAAGGTTTGATATATTCTGCGACATGAATTGTTGTAAAACCTTTGATGGTGCACCTATGTCTACAGTTATGTTTGTATATAGTGGTTCTCGCTTTATTGACAAAACTCCGTACCTGAAAAATTGGAAAAAAAGATTATATATATATTCACATATATTCATATATATTCAAAAGGAATGATTTAGGGAAGCGTTTCCTAGTGGCGAAGTTGATTTTTATTGCAATTTCGTTTGCATAATTTTCCCTTTATAATACCCCGTTTTCCCCAGTTTCATTATCTGATAAGGTTATTTCACAGGATGTTTTATCTTTCTTGAGCAAGCATTGTGGACGTCTTGAGAGGGCCACGGACCCCCGCTTTGAATTGTTTGGTCACAATGGGATTTTGGAATCTGCCAATCAAAAACTATAAATACCTATGCTCTCCGTGAATTCTAACCTTTAAAAAACTTACTTTAAACTATTCAAGCCATCTTCACCCATTCGTAACAGAGATTTGTTGATCAGGGAAAATCTTCCTAAATGACTTGCGTTGGATTTTTCTCTTGTGTGTTTAATCATGTGGAAAACACATGACTTGTTATACGATTCGCTTTGTATCTTATACCCTGAAAAAAATTGTAATATCTGAATGTAATTATTATTTGGCAATTAATTTAGTTATCTGCATTAAGTTAGAGCACATTGTGATTGAAAACCCGCTGAATGTGAAAAACTTGTTGCCGATTCTAACTAATAACAAGCTTTAATAGTGTGTAAAAAATTGTTTAAAGTTTTAATTTAAGTTTAAAAAAATTAATTAGTTCATTGTTGCCAAGGGAAACGATTTTCCAACAACAAGCAAAACAAGCAACAATTTTGCAATTGAATCATTGAGCTTGATCGTGTCTAAAGCTTCACCTTTACTCCACAAACGTATATACAGATCGTCATCTTCTCCGCCCCATCCCCAATATGCATTCGAGCACCCATTTATGTCATTGAGTTGTTTAGGTGTTAACATGGATACTCCTCCAAATAAATGTATACGCTCTCCCTTTTTCTTGACTAGAAAAAACAAATATTTGTTTACACCAACTTAAACAATCGTTCCTTATATATATCATTAACTGGACTATATACCACAAAGAATCGACAACTGTTCCACGGAACGTTAACAGAATTCGAATGTGGTTCTATTTTTTTCATTTCAAGATTATTTCTATTGGGAACTACAACCTGTTTCCTAGATAGTAGACAAATTTCTCCAGGGCAACCATTGAAAAGAGAAACTTGATGAATACGATTTTTAGACCTTTTTTGGCAATGACTTATTATACAAAAAGTGATTCCTGTGACACGAAGGATTTAAAAAAAAATGTTTCAATGCGCGAAAAAACAAAAAGGAGGCGAGAAATATGAAGTCGTCGAACTAACTCTCAATTAAAAATTTTTTTTAAAACCTGAGAACCCTGTATCTTTGTAATACAATTCGATGTCCATTAAGCCTACTTGAAAAACACATAATTTTCTTTTGGGGGAGCATATGGAAATGTCCTAATTGTGCAAGTAAATCCCAAAACTTACATACTTCAGGAGCACATACGGAAGCATATGAAATAGGCCTGAATTTGAATTTATCGATATAAACAGAAATCGATCGAGGATTATCTTCTTCTGGACACCAATAAAGACATCGATCGTCCATTAGGAGTAAATCAACGTCGTGAAAAACATAGCAGTCATACTTTCTTTCTGGAATTGGAAAGCAGCTTATCAAACATATTATATTACGCCCATCATTTGTTTTTATATTAATATTTAATCATGAGCTAGATCACAACTTATTCAAAAGTAAAATATACTCAAAATTTCAAGTTTTCATAAGCATTAAAGTCCAGGAGTTCAATATCCAAGTATTGTCTAGATTTTTTCACATAAAATTTCGTTGAGAATGCAACAGAACTTATAAACAAGTTTTTTCTAAGCAAATGTTTCAGACCTCAATGTTGAAGTGTTGATAGTATAAGAGTAGATATTTATATAATAATAATATCGTTAGAAAGATTGAAAAAATAGATAATAATAAATATTATCATTTGCCAAGCATCGTATATCAATCTCACCTTTACTCGCTTCTGAAAATCCAATATTTATGAGTTTAGCACGATTGAATAAGTTTTCTCCACTTTGCCATATTGTGTAAACTGTGTAGTCCAATTGTTGGCGTTGCCATATAGGATGCATATGATTCAGCAAAGTTCTGAGTTGCGTTTCCCTTCCCCGCAAAGGTATTATAATTGCCACCTTATATTGTGCACGACAGTCTGGTGGAGTGTATCGTCCTCCTGCTTCGAGTCGTAAATTATTCTTATATATTCCGTCCGAATTTGGTGGATTTATATCCCATGCATTATCATACTTCATTCGTCCTACCAAGCCAAGTGGAGTTTTAGGACATGACAAAACAGTCGAATTTGTTGTCACCCCCAAATCTATACTTTTCGAGGAAATGGTTTTTTCTGCACTCGAAATGGGAGTAACTTCACGAGTCAAATAGTTTGAACTATAGTTTGTTAAAAAAATATTCTTTACCATTCCATTTGTTTTGTATCCGTTAATATATGCAGTAACTGCTTCAGAGTTTGTATAAAAAACTCCGAAAAACATCAATAGCAGTGTTGCCAAGATACATGCCCCCAATAATAATGTCTTTTTTGACAATGAAGACCTTTCATTATTTGTTTCTATTGGATGCATTCTGAATAAAAATAATTTTGTAATAATAAGATTAAATTAAGTGCAACAAATACACTTGGATTTCACTCATGTCGATTTTTTATTTCTTCATTGTATGCACAGATAATTACTTGCATGAGTCGTAACTCATGGAAGAGGAAAGTGAGTATTCAGTCAGGTATCACAGCGCAAATAGCGAACAAGTATCAGTAAGTATGACACGTTTTTCTTACATGACTAATAATAGCATTTCATTCAACTTGGAGTCACAAATAATTTCGAGTAGAACTCAGCATTTTAAATTTACTTAAATATCAAGTATTAAAATCTAGAATCATTAGCGATGTTGCCTCCAGTTCATTGTGATATGTTGCCTTACAATCGCAATGCTTGCTAAAACAGCACGGAGAATTATTATGTAGTCTCGCTAAATCCTGTACTTTTACCAAAACATTTCATGTAGCATACTATACAATTCTGATTATATTTCCTCATTTGTCCATTCGATACTGTCTGATGAGAAAAAACAACAAAAGAACCAGAAACGTCTCGTATAGTTCTGCCTTCACTACCTCACGAATATTTCTGTATCTTATCATTTACGATGCACCATTTCTCCGATATTCAACTCTCAGTGTTTCTCAACGAACTGCTCGTTCTATTCTGCCTTGCGCTGATTGATTGCCCGAGGCAACATCTTGCTAATCATTACTCGGGACTTCAACAAATGCATTTTCCGTCGATTGATGCCACAACCAGCTAAAACACTATTTATCATCACCAACCAGATGACACACGCAGTCGCAAAGCATCCCTCACATTTTTATGACTAATAGCCAATATTATTCCGCCTGAACATATTTTTATTTATATGTTTTATACGGTTGGTTCGTTAGATGTGGCACTTACATTCGAAACTAACTGAGTTACAGAGCAATACCACATAACTAATCTTCAATCTATTCTATCATGAAACATATCTATCTAAATCGATACAGATATAGTCAATCTAACTCGTTGTGTCCGTTTCTCGTATTATTGCATATGAATGTCTTTTAATTAAAGACTTTTTCCCAGATGTATCGTATCTTGGACAAACACGATACCATATTTTCCCTTATTTGAACACGAAACAAGCGCTTCGTCAAGACTGGTTGAAGATAAATTAATTTCAGGCATGTTGTTGAGGATCGACCACTCGAAACGACCGGCCCATTGCGATCGACTTTTGGCTGTCCCTGATTTAGAGAAAACAAAACCTACAAGTATTGTAAGAGATTTATATCTGTACCTAAATTAGAACCAAGCTGTGGCGCTCGAGGGGAGTGGGGTTGGTAACTTGATATACATATACAGCCAATGTCCTATGCATATACAACCAATTGATATATAAATACCGCTATTTTGGTGATGTACATACATATCCAATATCAGATGCATATACAGCCAAATTAATATACATATACGGCCAATCGAATAATGTTCATACACAGCCAATGTAATATGCTCATATGGTCTACGCAATATACTTATACAGCCACTCGAGCAATGTACACAATCAGCCAATGTCATATGTATGTATAGTCAACCTTATGTACTTATGGAGCTAATCAAGCGATGACATACAATGTCATATGCATAATATACAACAAATTTAATATTATTAAATTAATATATACATGGAGCCATTCATGCAATGTACATATACAGTACAACGAATGTCATATGTACTTATAATCAACTCGATATAAATAGACAGCTATTCAAGTGATGTACACACACCTCCACTTTATTTCATATCCATGCACTCTTTGTATATTATGTACCGATGCGGTTGCATCTACAATTCGCAGCTTGAAAGTCATATTGATATAATAAGTGCGTTAAAAAGGACTCTCAAAAACTTCAAAACGGCTTTTGATGGAAGTTTCTTACAATAAGTGTATATGTATAGTATATGTATGTATAAGTATAAGCATGCAGATAAACATTACCTTAACACAGAGTTTAATAGCTCCTTACTTTAACACAGACAAAACATAAGTGACCAGTAAACAGCACCAGATAATTATATGTGTAGACAAAGTAATCATTGATGTGAACAAACTGATCTAAAGTAATTAACACAATATTACTGCAGTATATATAATAAATTATTGTAATATCAGCATCATAGAGACACTGAAATCTAAGTTTGGTGAGCTTCACTGCGCGTGAGGGCTTAGCAAAACTTTCTTATTACTAAATTGTATTTGAGACCAGTGGTGGGATTCAGCCGGTTCGCACCGGTTCTATAGAACCTTCTCTCGGAATTTTATGAGATCAGCGAACCGGTTAGCATTACTGGTTTATTTGCTAATAAAATATAATTTTTTGTAACAGAACCGGTTGAAAAATATGACTTTTGTGATGGAACCGGCTGACAAAAAAATTGAATCTCACCACTATTTGAGACCCATGTGGGGCCAAATATTTCATCTAAATGCTAATATCGTATTTAATTCATAGGTACACTTTTATATCATGCAAGAGAATGGGTCATTCTATCATGCATGTCCGTCGATCTTTTATTAACAAACTCAGTGGTCAGCTAAGGCCTATTAAGCCATCTTTATGTCAATATATTTTAGCATTGCTTCCCCCATAGTCATGATATACTGGTCGAGCCAATTTAAATTATGTCTCAATTAGTTCAAGTTATTCAATGCCAAATTAGTATCTAGCTTGAACTCACTCTAGCTATTGCTTACCATAAAATAAGGCATAAATTTTTCAAATATAATAACCACCGTTCATTCTCAATTTTTGATTTTTTTTTGTTTGACAACTCGAGGGTGACCGGAGTCTCACAGTAACCGAAATATCCAAATTAAGGGTCCTCGAAAAGCATATATGCAAATATGAAAAGACAAACTAAAATAAAAACACACGGATAATAATATCTGTGACACTTCTATAAAGACTCTTTAGATACGCATGTCACCAGAATAGTGGTTTGTTGCCAATGTGGAAAATTTTGATCATAAAAATCCAAAATATCCATCTAGTAATTCTACAAAGACTCTTTAGATACCCATGTCTTTAAGATAGTTGTATGTTGCCAATGTGGAGAATATTTTTGAAAAAAGATCTAAAATATTTCAGTTGAACAATAATTTCAAAATTATTAAATCTCCAAATTTGAAGTCTCACAGTTCGTTAGATGGTGATGCTGACTCGTTGCCAGTTTGAAACCGCATATTTCGTTGAATTTAATAGAGTGCCCCCATTGTGTCCCAAGGTGTGTTCGAATCCACCCCACCATCGCAGTGGGGCTCGAAGAGAGATTTTCATCCAGCATATTTCTCATGTTATCCACGATCGGCTGTTGTGGGCATTATGACATCATAGATTGGCGGCTATTGGATATTTATCAAGAACTACGGGCGCCAGCAGTTTTATGTTTTATATTTTTTGCCAAGCGTTAATTTGATTATTTTGTGGTTAATTTATTGCCAATAGCCAAAGAATAGTTCTCTGAAAAGAGATTTGGAGTCAGCACATATCTCGTGTCATCAACGATAAGATCTTGTGGGGTATTATGTCATCATAGATTGGCGCCTATTGAATATTTATTAAGAACTACGTGCCCCGGCAGTTTTATTTTTTATTCATTTCATCAAGCGCTAATTGGCCCAAATCTTTGTTGCAATAAATATTCGACGTCTAGTCACTGGCCGGGTCATTTATGATATGGACCACTGGAACGCTTTGTACACTCACAAAGCTTTGTTCGTAAGTACTAATACATCGTCCCTCCAATACAAAATTTTATTTTGTTGGGTGGATTTCAATACTAAACTTCTAGCATATCGCCAATATAAATAGTATCAAGTAAACGATATTGTCACGATTGAAGCTATCTCGGCTATTTTCCATAAAATAGGCATCATTGCTTCGTGTCACTTAATCGGGGAATACCCAGGTGCGCCCGAGAGATCTCTAATACAGCCGCGAGCGGGCGATGTTGGTTGGTTGGCAAATGGCAATCTCGCTAAAATCATACTCATCGATAATAACAGTACTCTTAAAACATCAAAGTTTCACGAAAATTTGGGTGACACCACTTGGTAACCTGCTTTGGTTCCCCTTTTTTTTCTCGAGTACATCCTGGTATTCATTCAGTTTTTTGTGTGATTTTATTACTCCGACTAGAAAAAATAAACTTCATCAAGACAACACAAATTATTGCTTTTTAAAAATATCCATTAAAAACCCACGTCAGTTCTGACGTACCTACAGTAGTTGTTAACATCCCCTGTGCATTCCTATTATTTTACCATTAAATTATCTACAATTTGGTCAAATACTCCCATGGTAGCTATATTAAGAAGACTCTCTGATCAAAAATGTATAACGCAATTTACTTCTCGCCCTTTGCTAGTTAACCAATCCATCATTCCTAGGACGCATTTCAATTCCTGACAATACTGGAAGTTCTATCTCAAAAGAAATCAAGCAATGTAAAGTCAAATGTATTCACACGAGCAATAATTATGAAAATTATAAAACACAATACTGAAAAGAAACGAGTAGACAAAATAAAATATTATATCTTAAACATTGAGCAAATTAATCAGATTTTTGTGTAATCGGGGTTTAAAATTGCGTTCCTTATATATGAAATTTGCATTACATTTTTATTACAAGTTTAGCAAATAACCTACAAAATCACAAGGGAAACCTTCCACTCAAATGAAACATTTTAGGTGAATATTGAAAGATTTTAGACTTGTTCTGCGAATCTTATTATTTCACCTGTCGGCTGCTCGAAAAGGTACAGGTCGAGTATGTTCTTGTGCACGCAAATTCCAGTAAATTGAACCAATTAGTTGACGATAACGTATACACCAATTAAATATGGAAATATCATAAATGTGGATGGATTACTAGATCCATTTATGTGCCGCGGAAGATATTCTTAATTTATGGTTAGGTAATTATTACAGATAACCTATAATATATATAATGTATTTGGAACAGTTAGTGAACTCCAGCGGTCACATGAAAATGGTGGTTTTTAAAATGTCCTTGATGTTGTGTGTTTTGATGCGCTTGATCATTTGCAAACGATGTTTTGATTTTTCGAATTCCTTCCCTAAAAAGTTTAGAAGGAGTTTTACGTTCTCTCAAACGTCTTGTGGTTCGAGCTTCACGACATAGATGCTTGAAAGGCTCTGAGGCGTTAAATGTTTTCTCGTGCAAAGTTGGGGTTTCCTCAACATCGTATGATAAGACGTTACAGTTATTGTTTTCATTTGTACGTTGTTGTGTCGTCACGCGAGTTTCGCTGTGCCCCCTTGTGTGATTTATAGCGGGATGCAGTCGATTTTTAGTATGATCACTGTCGGAATTGTACCGACGGTTGTTCATCAATTCCTCCAGATTTAAGTCTCGGCATATTGAACGAGATCTTCTAATTGGTGAAATAATAAGTTTTTTCACACTAGTGCTTCCATTAATTATGGTTGTGTCTGAGTTTGTTCCAAATTCGTCTTCACTAGATGAAGTAGTTGAATCGGATACTGGTGTTTCAGGCCGGAGAAAGAAGGTAGCGCAAGCATCAGTGTCTTTTCCGTTTAATGAAAGGCTTTCTGTACTGCTGTTGCTACTGCTTGCGCTATCGAGTAACGTTCCATTGCATCTGCCATCTGCACGTAAACTATTTACTCTAGATGTTGCAGAGACTTTTCGTTGGAAGGACGACTGTATGGGTAAAGTGTTACATCTGTCACGACCCATAGTTCCAACAGCTAAACCAGTAGTACCCATTTTTGCTAAACTCGCTCCGATGTTTGACATAGCTCTTGGTGATGTTTGTTTAGAACCGCCAAACTTTCTAGAAAATCTCGGAGAGAGTTTTTGCATCAACTTTCTGCCTCTACTCTGGGTCTGTGTCTCTGGTGGTAGCTCATCCGAAGGAGAGACTGAAATAAATGGAACCGTTGGAGTTGGAACAGAAAGATTGGATTTCTTTGAATCGTTATTGTTCATGTCATTTACTGGAGATTTTGATTCAGGTATTTTAACTCCAAATATTGTGTTTAGCACAACTGCTGGATCACTTCTTCGTCTTCCATTCTGTGTTTTAGTTTCAGTCCAAAGAGTAGTCGGACGTTGCATTTCTGTAACTCCTAATCGGCGTCGTGATTTGTTAGAAGATTCCTTCCTCGTTGGCGTAGTATTGTATTGTTTCGACCAACCTTCACTTGCTGATGTCTCGTAAAAATGACACCCAAGCTCATTGGCTAGTTTTAGTCCTTGTTGTGGTGTTACTTGCCTCATGTGATCCAAGTCTCCCTTGTTACCAACGACAACCATTCCAGGTACACTGTAAATAATAAATATAATATATTAATATAGACCGGGATGCCTCAGACTCAATTGTCCAAATTTTCCTCTGAAATCCCACCGATCAGGTTATCAAATAAAATTTTCGTGAAACTAGTTCGCTGCTGATTCTGATTTTTCATGTTTGACATTTAAAATAAAGTTTGATATCTAAAATTACGTTTCCTGTGTTCAATATACAGTAATGGCGGATGTTTCAAAAATAGAAAATGAAATACATAACAAAAGTACTAAAATTGTTGAAAAATCATACTTTGCATCCAATGACTCGTATTCTGCAACTCTTTCTTTTATTCGAGTGGCGGCATAGCGGAGTCGCTGGTAGCTCATCTTGTCTGTTACGGAATAAACAAGCATAATCGCATCTGCCCATCTGAAATGATGATCAACCGTTGGAACGCGGATTCCTTTTTCTGAAGTATCTTGTATTTTCAAATGTAATTTTTCGCCATCTACCTCTACCACTCCATTGCAAGTCATTTCTGGAGTGAAAAAAAAATAAAGTTTACGATATAAACAAAGACCCACGCTGAAATTAGCGTCGAATATCACAAAAAATATACAGTTTTATGTAACTTTAGTTTAATGCTATATCCACGACTAAGATCAACAAAAGTATGGTTTTTAACTTTAAAATGTACAGAAATAATAGATTGATCAACACAGTTGGTTGTGACTCGTCACGTTTCTACCATAGTACGGACTAGAAGCAGGGGTTCCCAACCTTTTTATCTCAATTTCCCACTTCCGATTAGGCTGAGCTGTTATTTCTCATTACATATGGACTTATTAAAAAAAAAAATTTCCTGTAAATAATATTTGATATGACTTTCTATGATAAAAGCTTTCAATTTGTGTAGAGGTTGAAACCCTTTGAAAACATTCCTTTCGCCGTCTAGCATCCCAAGACAGTGACGATCCGAGTAAAGAAAATCAGTGTTACCCATCGAATAGAACAATTCAACGCTTAAAATTACAAAAAACGCATCAAAGTTTACATTACATTACACCGTCCATATCAATTCTGCTGTTTTTTTTATATGACAGACGGAAGTCTGAACCTATTTTTGAAAATGCGCATTGCTATTGGACAAGGAGATCCGTCATCTTTGACGCCGCAGATTTATTCGGCAGAATATCGTTGAAAACGTGAAACGTAGCCGAGATGATTATGATCGTACTATATTTTTACATAAGCCATTACCTTTTATTAACAATTTAGCAGAATGGAGGGACGGGTCAAATATTTGTTCATCAGAGCGCGTGCCTACCCAATATCTCTCGTTGCGGCTCTGCAACGAAAATCTTCTTGCGTAACGTAGCATTCATTGGTGCTCGTTCGAGACATGTCTGTGAGGTTGTTATCGGCTGACCAAAAATCAAAATGAGTTTCGTAGCACGATCAGAATATCATGCCCAACAACGTAATATTTTACTAAAGCTTCATTAATTGAATGAGAATCTTTTTCCGCTTCATGGCATATATTGTAACTTTCATTGTGTAATATTTAATAATTGTGTTGTTGTGCGTACATTTTTAGAGGAGCATTCTATTTCCCACCTGCAACCTCCAAATTTCCCACTAGTGGGAAATTTCCCACCGGTTGGGAACCACTGGACTAGAGAAATGTGAGTCGTCGGAAATACACAACTTAGTATCATTGATAAATAATATTCATGTTCAGTATGATATACGAATCACCTAATTACAGTTCATGAAAATAATGAAAATTCGAAAAATGAAATAAACAAAATTTTCTTCTGATTTTTATATATAGAAAAAATGATAGTGATTAACATTCATATATGACTACGTGACTGTATGAACATATAGAATGGTCTAATCTCGACGAAAACACATAAATGAAGCAACAACTACGTAATTATCAAAGTGAGAAATTGGCAAAGCAATTAAAAGACGCAATGGTACCATTTTATTCACACCACAATATTGTTGTTCTATAATCTATAATGACGACACTAATCCAAATAATATTCCTGCACACGTTTTGGGTAAATAAATCAAGAATTATGCCATTGTTTTTCACATTTCATGCTCGATGAAAGATATGAGCGTAAAAATATTTTCATGTGATTTGAAATGTTGCCAACATATTTTACACTTCAACCCCCAAAATAATCCAAATAAAAATGATTTACTAGTAATGACCACTTTCAATTCGATTCAATCTTCATTGAGAATTATCAATGCCACCCGTGGATTGCTTTTCGTGCAAAAAAGGGTCAAAAATTGAGGAGCGAGGCAAAATCCCGTGGGGTATACACAGCAAACACGTTATGTCATGTCGGCTTCATCCATTACAATTATTTTCAAGATAAAATTGAGTCTGGTAGCATGCGCATATCACGAGTATAAATGAGATTTATCTGCTAACGTGTGCCTGCGAGAAATGAAGATTTAGAACCATGAGGCTACAATTAAATATGTATTGGCATATCGCGAAAGAAACTGACGTAGCGGGTTTATTTAAGAACTGTGTAATATATTTCCCAAAACCTGTCATCTGTCATGTTCTTATACTAATCATGAATTTATTTTTCATAAAAATACTCATAAAATTGTGTTTTCATATGCAGTATAGATATAACGCAGTATGCATGTAAATTTTGTGTATGTATATGCAAACCTAGTAGCAAGAGATGTCAATTACTAGTTGGATTCAAAGTACGATCCACCGAATAATCATATTTCAGAGGTTCAAATTTTAATATAACCTTCAATAAAGAAATTATATCAGCGTATTTTAACCTCTTTATCATATTTAATATTCCTGGATTAAATCTTAGAACATCATGAATAATTAAATGACCTTGGCCCGGTTCAATATCTCACCAAATGCGTCTGTGCATGGGAACATGATGAAGGTTTCTTTCTAACATAGTAATATATAAATCATGATAAATAAACGTATACTTACATCAGGTTCTGGTTTAGCTATATTTTTAAGACAACATCTACTTGAACTAAGTTAGGCCAAATATGGGATATGATCGGAACATGATTTTATATTGTATGACAAACTTGAAAGCATTTTGTTTATAAAAACAGAATTACAAAATTCCACTCGGCCTACATGGTGTGTATCAACGACTGCATCGCTGAAGAATAGGTTTTTATCCTTAAGCTTGGCATTTTTTGTCGATAAATCGAAACAGTTTGTTTATAGCACATCCATCACTACATGGAGAAACTTTTGCGGCGAAATCCATTAAAATGATTTACTTGCTTGGCAAACAAATTAAAATCTGCCATTTCTTGCAATTTGCAAATTGGCAATCTCTTGAGCACTTCATGGTATTGCCTTGATTTCGTCATCATCACTATGACTTAAAATCATTTCCACAGAAGTGATTCCGTTTCAAATGTATTGAAAATAATATGAACAGCTTTACAAAATTGTCAAATGATTATTAAATATTGATTCTTTGTAAATTTCATGCCGTTTCATTACAAATTTCTCTAAACCTATGACTACACTTTAATAACTTGTTAATTTAGATCTATGCCATACCAGACATGTTATTTATGTACATGTAACCTATGCCATAGAAACTTATACGATCCAATACTTTATTTCATAGAATATGAGAAATTAATAGGAGATACAATAAACGTATTCTGGCGAGTTTATAACGATATTAGTTATTTGCTTTTATGTATACTGACGGTGAATATACGTTTACTTTGCACAAAATTGGCCGTGAAGTTGCGGTTTCAATTTATCTTTAAAAGCATGAAATTTTATACTTATTTCGTTAAAAGAATTATTTTAGAAATTATGTAATGTTCACACAGCTATCATAATTTTCTTTAAAGAATATCACAAGGTCAAAGATTATCAACAATACCTTTAAAAGTCACTTATTTAACGAAATCCAGTCATCTGAAATTTTGAGTCGCGTTTTTTTTTTATTCTATAGAAAATAAAATGCAAAAATATCTGATACATTCAATTTTTCAAGCTTTACTTTTTCGCATATCAGTTAATCTTTGTAAATATTTTTTTGGATTAATTTTTTTTCCGTAAATGACGGATTGTTTGAGCATTAAAATTGTTGTTTTCTCAATATTTAAGCAATGTGTCAATTTATTCATAAAGATGGGAATGGAAAAGCTTTTAGGGTGATATATTTGATATTTATCCCAAAATATCGTTAGCCCAAGGGTCCGTGGAAGAACCGAATAAATTTTAAAAAAACATCAATATATTTCATATGTATATAAAAAAAATTCAAAAATACAATGAAAAGCTCTAAAAACGCGTTTGATTCACCAGAATATTATTAATTAATCATTCATGCACAAAACATTTCTTGACTTACTTCTTATTATTAATATAGCTACAATTATTGCTAGTAAAAGGAGACTAACGATGTCAAATGTTCTCAACAACATAAAAAACACCAGTGAAAAATAATAAAAAACGAGTCTTATACTGTATCAGATCTGTTATGAATTCCGTCCAAATTATTCGGTTTACAATAAAACTTCAGACCCATTGTCGCCTATGAAAGATTCCTGTTATCAGTGATAAAACAAGGAATTTATTTTCTTTGTCGGAGTATGGGTGTAGCAGAACCACTTAGCTCAATAAGTATGTCGAATAAAAGTATTTTGAGTATTTGTTTGTAAGTTCTCCTCAGAACAACATATAAAATATACGAAATGGGTAAACATGATATAATACTTTATAATTCTGTCGAATAATGAAATCTCCAGTCATTTTAGAACAGGTTAAACATACATGAATTGTAACAATATTAAAAATTAGGTTCTTTGACGATGTGCTATATCATAGACTATACAGGATCGAAAACAACAGCAGCTCAAGTACCTATTCTTATTTTATTCCGGGATTAGCGGAGTAATATGAAAACACAATATATATATATATATATATATAGTAAACATATAATACCACTTATATGAACAAAATAATATATTCCACGTAAGAGACTTTATTTATTCAGACTGGGATGGATCATCACTAATATAACACTTGAATGAATTTTCAGCATTGTCTTGATTTACGTAGTACGATAATACTTTTCTAAATCATTACATAAAAAATATCCGGATTTCTAAGCATGATACTATATCGAGAAATTGTCCTTCGATTGCGTAAGTTAAGACCATTGGTTATTTAAATATAGATATTTAAAAGAAAGTCGATAATATGGCAAGTAATTCAGACACGTATTTATATAGAGAAAATAATCCAAAGCGAATGTGAGTGCATTTTGCAGGTCATTAAAATACATAATGAGCTCAATATCGAATATTTTATGCTTGTAATTATGCCGTCATTTAATATTCAGGGCATGTACACAATTGGTGTCGTTCCAATGGTTAAAAATAAAATAAATAAACAAAGTACTCTTGTTGATTTTTAAAATACTTGCTGTGCGGCAGTTTTCGTCATGGTGTGCAAAGTAAACAATGATTGGTGTTAATTAGACA